CCCACAAGTAGGGCTCACGTACCCTGTTTGACCTGACATGTCGAATCTTGTAAGGTTCCATCATGGCTCACATCTGCTCAAAGGATGCTATTCGATATATGTTTAGCTCACGAAATAGAGTTATCAGAGCGTTGAAATCTTATGGGTCGAATACTGTTTGGGTTCAAAAGTAGCTCAAGCTGTCAAGACTGTCGGCATATGTATGCATTTCCAAACAAGGTTAAGTGCTGCATCGCCAAAGAACTAATGCAGTATCTCGTTACATGAGATGTCAACGAGGGTTTAGATAGGTTGGTACCTTGCAGTTGATGAGCTTGGTGATGGAGGTTCCTGAGTTGGTGATGGGGGAGAGCCTTTTACCGAACATGTGCCGAGAGAGTTACCCCACATCGACCCAAGAAGTTCAGCGCACCGACTTTTAGAAATAGCACGTCTCGATAAAAACGCAGTCTTCACACGCTATCCAATCCAAAATCAGCATCAACGTCTCAAATCGCCTGTTTTTGTGCACATTTCGGCTCCCTTTGAAGCTCCTGCCATTGGGATAGCTCCAGATCCATAACCTGTACCCCTGCCTGTTGCACAGGCTCCTTTTCCCCAGCTTTCAATACCAACCACGTTTAGGCATGACCCCTCGGTAGCCTTGTTCACCTTGTCCGTTTATTTTCTATCATAACTATGCTGGATGCTGTGTATCTGAGGCTGCCCGAGTTATAGCAGCATCGTCCATACTTGGAATACCTCTCACTCTAGTGTTTCTCACAACCTGAATCTTTGATCATGGAAGCTCAGGTGAGTTGATGCGTTGTTCTTCCATCATCTTCCTTCGTCTTTGTCCCATGACGCTCGCTAGGGTGCTCTCGTGCCCCGCCATTTCAACCGTCACTTTTGGATGGCCAAGCCGCATCGGCCCAATGTCCACACTTTCCAGGCCCGACCCGACGGAATGGTTGTTATCTGAAGCTTATGAATACATGATATCGTCTCTTTGCTAACTCTGGTCCCAATGGCTCAGGTCGAGAATGCCGTCGGGATTCTCTCGAACCCCACCTCCGATCAGTCTCTCAAGGAGCAAGCTTTTGAATACCTAAACCAACTACGAAACGATCCCTCAGGATGGCAAGCTTGCACTACCCTCTTCGCTCGAACCCCTCAAACCTCAGAAGTCGTGCGCATGGTCTGTCTCGAAGTGGTCAACTATGCGGTGCACACTCAAGGTCTCGACCAGGCAAGCCTAGCTTTCCTCAAAGACACCCTTCTCCAATACTGTCGCCAAACATACGGCCCTAACGCCCAGCAAGAAGCCGACCCTTATCACCTTCAGAACAAGCTCACACAAACATTGACGTACTTGTTTGTCTTTCTTTACCAAGACGGATGGCAGAGCTTCCTCGACGACCAACTTGAGTTGACCGGCCTCTCCACAAATACCGACAACGTCCCAGGCGTCGTTTTTTATCTTCGAACTCTGGGATCCATCCATGACGAGATTGCAGATATGCTTCTGTCACGGCAGAGCAACGAGACCAAGCGAAATACCGAGCTCAAGGACCAACTTCGAGCTCAGGATATGCACAAGGTGTCTGAGTCGTGGAAGCAGCTCCTAACACGATACTCGAACAACGATACCGTCGTAGAACTTGTTCTCAAAGTCCTGGGCAAGTGGGTTAGCTGGATGGACATCTCCTTGGTTATCAGCCAGGACATGCTCGGGCTGCTGCTGCCGGTAGTTGGCCGACCAAGCACTGATGTGCAAGACAAGGTCCGCGACACCGCCATTGATACCTTGAATGAGATATGCGGCAAGAAGATGCGTTCGGCAGACAAGATGGAGATGATCTCCTTCATTAACCTCAGGGAGATTGTTGAACAATTAGTTGCTAGCCCCCCGTTGAGCGAGTACAAAGGAACCTCTCGTTACGATACGGACCTGGCCGAAGCAGTGGCCAAGTTAGTTAACACCGTACTCTCCGATATCGTACGGGCCCTTGAGGACAACCAGATCAGTGATGACACTCGCGCTAGAGCTAATCAGCACCTCCAAGGGTTCCTCCCTTTCCTTCTGCGCTTCTTCTCTGACGAATATGATGAGGTCTGCTCGTCTGTCATTCCCGCCCTGACAGACCTTCTCACTTTCCTCCGTAAACTCACTGTTGTTCACCAAGACTACGGCGGTATGCTCGCACCAATTCTAGATGCCATCATCCACAAAATGAGATACGATGAGACTACCACCTGGGGTGATGAAGATGAGCTCACAGATGAAGCTGAATTTCAAGAGCTTCGTCGCAAGCTGCAGAATCTGCAAAAGTCAATTGCAGCCATTGACCAGCCTTTGTACATGGATATGCTGAGCAACTTGGTTGCCACCACTTTTCAGACTCTTGATCAGCAGGGCTCGCAAATGGACTGGCGAGATCTCGATCTTGCATTGTATGAAATGTACCTCTTTGGCGAGCTTGCGCTTCCCAACCAAGGACTGGGCACCAAAAACCAGCCTTCTACTGAGGCCTCGGAGAGGTTGGTGGTTATGATGCAGAAGATGGTTGAATCTGGTGAGTACTTCAGTGAATCAGTTACAGTCTGGTGATGCTAACCAATGTAGGTATTGCCAACTTCTCTCATCCCGCCATCCTTCTGCAGTACATGGAGATTTGTGTGAGGTATTGCGTGGTTTTCGAGAACCATCTCTCACAGTACATCCCTCAAGTTCTAGAGAACTTTGTGCGATTGGTTCACCATGACCACGTTCGGATAAAAACGCGATCGTGGTACTTGTTCCACCGCTTCATCAAGCAGCTGCGTGCTCAGGTTGGCAATGTTGCAGAGACAGTCATCCAGTCGATCGGAGATCTCTTGCCCATCAAGGCCGAGGTCCCTGGTGATGATGCCGACGATGATATGTCATCAGACGAATCTGACCACTCCGCGGATGCTCTCTTTACAAGCCAACTGTACCTTTTCGAGGCCATTGGCTGTATTTCCTCGACCCAAAGCACACCTGCTGATAAGCAGGCCTTGTACGCTCGATCTGTTATGGACCCCCTATTTACCGACATGGAAGGACACCTCCCACGAGCCAAGTCTGGAGATGCGCAGGCTACCCTTCAAGTGCACCACATTGTTATGGCGTTGGGTACATTGGCCCACGGGTTCTCTGACTGGACTCCGGGTATCACCTCCGCTAATGCACATGGACCTCCTGACAAGGCTGTCTCGGATGAGTTTTCTCGCGCAGCTGAAGCCATTCTCATTGCGCTCAACCAGCTGAACTCGTCTTCTGAGATCCGAACTGCTTGCCGATCAGCCTTTTCTAAGCTGTTGGGTGTCCTTGGTGCTGCCGTGCTGCCCCAATTGCCCCAGTGGATTGAAGGACTGCTGTCTCAGAGCTCATCTAAGGATGAGATGGCCATGTTTCTTCGTCTACTGGATCAAGTGGTGTTTGGCTTCAAGGCTGAAATTTATGAGGTCTTGAACATGCTCTTGACGCCTTTGCTTCAACGTATCTTCGCTGGGCTTACGGAACCCATTGCTGGTACCGATGATGAGATTCAGTTGGCCGAGCTGAGGAGGGAATACCTCTCTTTTCTCCAGATTATTCTGAACAATGGATTGGATGGTGTTCTCGTCAGTGAATCTAACCAGGGCTTCTTTGAGCCTATGATTACCTCCATCATTGAGCTCGCCAAGACTCTTGAGGGGAACATCGGTGGTAGCCGTCTGGCTTTCACACTGATGACAAGGATGGCAGCCATATGGGGAGGACCTGACGTTGCCACTATTTCGCAGAACCCAACGGCCCCCTCTGGAAGCCCCAACCCTGCATTCCCTGGCTTTGACCATTTCATGATTCAAAGGTTCCACTCGACTTGCTGGGAGGTTATGAAGAACCCCAGCTTCCGGCCTTACCAGGACGCTCAGACTAAGCAAATTCTCACAGAGATTGCAGGTCTAGAGCAGACTATTTACACCAAGACGGGCGAGTCTTTTATCCAAGAACTCCAAAATAACATCTTCCCTAGCGTTGGGGTTAACGGTGATGACTTTTTACGATCTCTTACGACGTCGACGGACAAGAGGCAGTTTGCTTCATACCTGCACGCCCTGCTCAAGTCCCGTCAGTAGATACTGAAGGAGAACATACGATTGCAATTTAAAGGAGACATCATGTCTGGAAAGCATGCATGGCGAGGTTGAACTCATGATGATGACGATTGGAGACCATGGCGGATGTATGGATGGATGTATGGATGGGAGCCTCACGGCGCATGTTCAGGGAGTTTTGCGGACAAACATATTAGAGCTAAAAAGAATCGTCTTCTTTGTCATTCGCAGTCAAAACAAATATTCCCCCTTTTTAGTTATTTCATTTGGGCGGCTGGATCTTATGGAATGTGGAGAGCTGTTGGGAGGAGGATAAGGGCGTAGAGAAGCTTGGACAAGGATGAAAATAAATACACTTCTACATAAGCATATGACTTGTTTGTCCAGGCTGATTACCTTGTGATGATATTGTTTGATATTTCTCGGAGTACCTCGACTCTCGGCTGACAGTAATAAAAGTGTTCATCTGATAAAGGAACCCCTGACCTTAGGCACGTCGTCTAAAGTGGACTAAGCTATGACGAGAATGAGGCCGTGAATCACTTCCCTGATCTGACGATGAACTTTGGTGTTTCCGTTTCCTCCTTTCTTGGTCGTTACTTCTTCACAAGGTAGCGAGACGAGTAGCACTTTCTGTATGGCGACTTGAATCTATGAAAGGGGCTACCTTGCCCCTACCTACAGCAGAGCGTCACCTAAGGTAGGTACGATATCAGGGGGATACGACTCCTCCTGATTCCTGGCCTTCTTCTAGCATCATCAGCTTCACAGATACTACCATCATCATTCGATTCCGATTCTATTCTACTACACACTCGTTATTGTCTTTCTTTAACAACATCTCCATTGTTGCAAGTTTAGAGTAACGCACCTCAATTTTCCCTGCTTCACACGAAATGAACGCCTGCACGATGGCATCGAATTCGCTTTCTATTTACTCCCAAAGTCTCCCAGCGTTTGCTGAGCAGGCGACGTGCGCCAACCCATATTGGTCCATGAGTTCAGATCTCCTACCGCAGATGTCGTCCTCGGCTCGACCGCCCAACGAGGGAAACTCCCAAAGAATTGTTGAAGATGAAATTCAGGCCCTCCTTGGACGTATCGACAACAGCATCTACGAATGGCGTTCAGACGATGGTACGAACACTACTGAAGAAGTCATCAATGTCCCAAATGCGCCCGTTATCCCCGCTGGAGAAAACACAGAGTTTGATACGCTGCTCAGTGGGACACAACCAACAACTACCTGGTCAAAACAAATGGGTTGTCTGGCTTTTTACCTACTGAGAGGGCATGATAGTTTGACGGCCATCTCAAATTGCTTACCCGATATCATGTGGATAATTGACATGAACAACAACGTGGAAGAAAACAATAGCAGCGGTGATACTTCCGGCGAGTCATTCCAATCCAATGGTACCAGTGGTGGTGGCTCATATCAGCAAACGGGACGAAACGGATGCAATCCGCCAACTAGAAGCCGAGCTATCATCTTGATAAAGGCCATGCTCATGCTCATGCTCATCAATCAACGGTAGCTCCCCTTAGCTTGGTCCCAGCAAACAATTTTTAGTCCGAACAGCGATAACATAGCGATATACTGAATTAGTTCAATTAATAGGGTTGACTAAGAAGCACATTCAGAGTACAACCAGCTCCTGAACACTATTATCCAGATTTCTCGAGTAGGAAGAGTTGGATTCCATCAGCCGGGTCGAAGTTTGTGACTAGATTATGCTTGAATAGCCCCTTAAATTCTAGAATGGACAAGATCCTGTTAAAAGTCTATGAGGTAGTGTCTGCTGAGTGTTTGCACGAGGTCCACAAAGTAAATTATTCAGAGTGTTTGTATCGAAGAGAAGAGAAGAGTTAAAAGCGCAGTACCACCCCATGTAGCACAGTATAAACGGCTGAGAAACGGGCAACATAGGCCATTGGTACTTTTCTCCATTCAAAGGTCATAATGGATATTGTCTGAACCACAAAAGGCTCATCAAATAATGTAACCTCCCCCAGTCAAGCAGCGCCAATCCCGAACCCCAGTCCCCTCTTCAAGTTCCACACACCACCAAAGCACCTCCTTTGCTTTGTCAGGCTGGCCACTCTCTTCGTAGGCGCGGCCCAGTGTGAACCACGCCTCAGATGAGTTCCAGCCAGAACCGAGCTTGGTGAGTGTAGAAAGGAGCGCATACGCACGATCACGAGCCGCAAGACGGTCGACAAGTGGTAGACGGGTGGCCTTGTACGCAGCAGGAAGTTCGTCGTCGTCCATGGGTTCCATGGGAGTAAATTGAGTTTCTGGTGAAGGGCCCAGACCGAGAGGTGTCGAAGGCAGGGGAGAGACTGCTTGACTGCCTGAATTTGGCTTTGAGCTGTTTCCTATGTTGAGGTTGAGCAAAGCATCCTCCAGAGGCGGTATCGGAGGTGGCGGGAGGAGATCTTCACTGTAAATGTCGAGCAGGATGTTAGAAAGGCCGATGATTGCAGTAGGATGATTTGGCGTATGTGTGAGGGCGGTTTCAAAGTCGTTGCGAGCTGCATAGGGGGCTCCTTTCGACAGAGACAGTTGACCAAGCTACGAAGAACATTAATACACATCACATAAATTGCAGTTAGGGGTTGGTATCTTACCTCTGCGTATAGATCACTCCATAGATCCTCTACGGTCTTCTTTTCGGCCCAGCTGGGAGGCCTGAGAGCACCTGAACCAGATGGATCCCTGGCCAAGTCGGCCTCCAGGCTCTGAATAAGTCGCTGTGCTTCTGTGATAGCTCCCTTGGCGTCCTCCCTCATACCTGCTCTGCGGTAGAAACCAGCAATCATGAGCCAGACTCTTATCAGAAGGACCACTCGTTGAGCCCTCTCCTTATCCTTGGGGAAATGGACAAGTGGTAAGATGCAGGTGGATGCGTAAGCGTTGTCAACTGATAGCTCAGAGTAGTCGGTTGACTTCGTTTGCGTCGAGAGATACGAGTTAAGGTGTCCTATAGGCCGCCTTGAGAAAGATGAGCCTCTCGTTGCCGAGTGTCGTTTACTTGAGTAGGTAAAGAAGTCCGATTGCTGCTCGTTCTCTTCAACCTCGCCGTTTGGGCCAGCTGGTGTGAAAAAAACATCTCCATCGACAACTGTAGGTCCATGGGCAGATGAGATAGCCCCAATGCTGGAGGATCGCTGTCGGCTATGGCTCCGATCGCGCTTCTTTAGACTATTGCTTCTACCCGTAGCGCTTCTATTGCGACGCACTGAAGATGCTGATGTCCTTGGTCGCGACTCTGCTAGGGATCCGTTATCTCCCGTAACCTGGATCGTCGGTGCACTGCTGCGCATGGTCGCTGCAGTTTGAGGTCTGGGGTTCCTGTCACCCGCAGCAGTGTAGACCTGCCTCGTAGGTGGTCTGGATCGATCATTGCTGCCAAAGATGGTTCCCCTAATGCTTCTAAGCGTGCCAGAAGTTTTTGGTGGTTCCACGGCCTTGGGGGGGGTTAGAGTAGGTTGGGCTGCAACGTTGCCAAACAGCCTCGAGAAGAGAGTCAGCAATTCGAAGCTGGCATTTACAGCCACGTCTGGGCCTTCGAGTAGCTCGACCAATGCAAGTTGTGTCATCTTCACCTCCAGGATGCTCTCCTTTTCACCATCATCCATATCGTCGACGAGGCCATGTTTGTCTTCTGAAGTATCTTTTTCCGCCTCGTTGAGGTGCTCGCTTCTATAAGCTTGATCGGCCTTACCAAACAGAATTGTAGTATCTTTAAATTGTTCCAAAGCACCATCGCAAGCCCTCGCGGCCATGCTATAATCTTGCCTGGCACTGAGCAGGAGAGCGAGCAGATGCCAAACAGGAATAAGAGAACGCTCTTGCCAATATGGCCCATATACCAGATCGTAGTTCTCTTCCTGATCCTTGCTTGCTGTCAAGGCAGTTCTGACAGTCTCAATTGCAGCAGTCAATTCTCTTCGCTCAGCCAATAGGAGGCCAAGAGCATAAAAGCTCCTAATATCTTTTGAGCGCCCAAGCTCAGCTGCAAGAGACTTTCTTAGACAGCGAATAGCCTTTTGTTGAATTTCGGTTCTAGCCGAGGCTTCATATGTGATTCTTGACCAATGAGCCTGGGACAGGCCAATAGCTTGCCATGCAAGGGCAATAGTATGCGGTGCCACGGGCGGATGTGAAGCGCTAAGCTCATTGTGTTCCGAAATTACAGGCGTGGGGTTGTCTTGCGAGGTGATCTGCAGTAACTTTGCCAACCAGTCTTCGAGCTCGGATCCAAGCTGGTGCGCTTTTTCCGCTGCAGATCGTTGGCCATATCGACAGAGAGCTAAAATACACTGCGAGATTGTTTCGAGGACGGTCGCATCGTCGTCCAGACTAGGTTCAACAAGCCCGGTTTTGTCAACACGAGCCTTGCCCTTTTTGACAATCTCAAGGTAGGAGTCGAAGGCCTTGAAAGCGAGGTCGAATTCGGCAACCGAAAGGTGAACAAGGAAGAGAGACCGGAGAATAGATGTCGAATGGTAGGTCTTCATAGCCGCGCTGTAAAGAATATCGAGAACTCCACGGCTCAGGCTGCTTCGCCCACCCTGGCCAAGGTCCTTTTCACTCCATCCTCGCCCACAGAGAATAGACCAGTTTCGTAGTACCTGATTGACAAACGCTTCGACTTCCTCACGCTCCTCGTCGGCTCTGGGGAAGGATGTCTCGCCTAGCAAAAGTGTCTGGTACGTAGCCTCGGCATGCTTGAGCTCAATGCGCAGCTGATTCCGAGGTGAGAGGTCCCCCGCTGTGTTGCTCACAAACCCGGTAGGAAAAGGTTGATCGGTATCAAGAATGGATGAGAGGGCAAAGTAGTACTCTCTCCATACCGTTCTTCGAGGTACAGAACCCTTGAAGCCGTATCCTCCTGTGACAGGAGTAGACATAGTATCCCAGAATCTTGCCCACGCTCGATAACCCGCCATAGAATCGGCGTCGACCTGTGTGATTTCGTTGCTTCGGTATGCTTCGCCTGAGAGCATGCAGTATTCTGTGAGGAACAGCTCTGACCAGTAACGGAGCTGTCTTCCCATGCCTTGTTCTGCCCAAACTCGTCCAAGTGATGGAAGACCAGCTCGGTAGGCAGAGAGTGCCTGCTTCAACTCGCCGCTGCGCGCAAGGCAGTTAGCTTTGAGATACGCAGCTTTAAGTGAGCAAACACTCGTCCATTCAGCACTTCTGTCGGCTGGGTTGATCTCGCCTTCCTCCAAGTTGTTCTCGGGTAGTCGACTGACACAGAGATTATAGTCTCCTAGTGTCCAGTGCAACCAACCCGCGCATACCTCAGCTTGGAATCGGTCATTCTCGTGGGCGGCTTCCTCGTCAATTGCCGCTTCGAGCCTTGGTAGTTGATCCGTAACATTGACATCGCCTGTGTTTACAGCAGTTGTTGGCCGACCTTCGGTGTTAGTGTGAGCTGCAGCTCCCGTCGTTTTAGCGATGGCGCATTCGGTTTCGGCCGTCAATGCGAGACCTGATTGAACAGTATTAGCTTTGTGGCTGATATGAAGCTATTCGGAGAATGACGTACAAGCTCTGTCGGGAGCATGTTTGCGGACTTTGCGAACAAGCTCCGGGACCAGATCCCAGTTGCCGTCGCAGCGGGCATGGTCCAGCTGATTAATGTATTGCACGGCCTTGGGCTACAGAGCAGCAGCGATACAGAGTCAGCTTCGTTATAATCGGCGAGGGCGTTTTGTTTCGTCTTACACCCATGGTTCGTTGGAAACCTATTTCAGGGTTTCAGGAGATCGGTCTCGGACTTAGACTAGCAAAGAGATGGCGCCGAGCGCATGGCGAGGAAGATTGATTGCTAAATAGATTTGAATCCTCTTACGAGAGGCTTAGGAGAGTTACGATATCGAATATAACAGTTACAAAAGTCAATCGTGATGTTTCAGAGGCCGCCTGAGGTGAATGGTATAATTGCGGTCTCTGGACTTTCAAGGTGGTCAAGATTGGGTCGTATTTGCTGGAGATGAGAGCTGCTGGGACGACGTAACTCAGCTCATCAGCCAATCAGTGCCATTTAATACAGCACGGTTGGATCCACCGTCAGGGGTCTTCCCGCCAGTCAAGCTAACCCACCTTTGGTATGCTTGTTGCTAGGGACCTACTGGACTGAGAGCAGAAAAAAAGTTTCAATGGAGTCTTTCTTGATGAATCTACAGCTTCATCATAGTTCGAGGTTATAAGCCGAGATTTCCAGTTGAGCAACAGAATTGGATACGGAATATTTGTTCAAACATACCTGAACCTCTTCTGCGACTGCTGTACTCGCCTTTCACACGTGACGGCTCAGTATCAACCTTGAGTTGATCTACTTTTATCTCGGCCAATATCTTAAAGCTTCAACTTGTCGCAAAGCATCTGAGACCTCACAAACTATCCCAGAAAACCTCATATAGGATCCATTACTCATGGCTGCCTCACTACCACCCGATCTGCGGGTTCTATGCCGCAAACTCACCTCAATTCCCCCAACTCAGCTCCCTCATGCGCTGCCATCTCTCATCAACCACATCCTACACTGCAAAGAGCCATTGTCAGCGCCTTCGGACCGTAAGGTCAAGGATAGCTCCTCGGAAGGCGCTCAGCTTGCCCATAAGCTCAAAGCTAGCATCACTACTCATCTTAATGGTCGAAGCCGTGAGGCTAGGTTCGCAGCAGTTGCTCTAATCAAGACTGTGGTTGACGTTGGTGGATGGGAAATCCTACGAGGTTGTCAACCATGGGTCACTGGACTCCTGTCTGTAGTCGAGGTAAGTTAACGCATCCTTATCTATAGGCTTACTACTCACAAATCTCAGAAAAGCGATCCCATTGCTTCAAAGGAGTTGGCCATTGTGACTCTGACACGCATCTACATCTCAGTCCAGCCATATCAGACCCTTGTCCGAGAGATTGCCACACCAACAATCCCAACATTTGTTACAGCTTGCATAAAGCTCATCAGCTTGCCCAAGAACGGCGAGAAGCTCCAAACGCCCCTGTCTGTCATTGAGACTATTTGCGACGCCTTATCAGCCTTGATTCCTCTTTACCCAACAACCATTCGGCCTTCAAACTCCAAGCTCAGAACAGCAGTCAAGCCTTATCTTGTTCCTACACAATCAGACGAGACTGTCGTTCCACAAAGTCTTCAGCGAGCTTCGCGAAAACTTGTTATCTCGCTTCACCATGTTGCTGCCAAGTCAGGAGGTAGTGATGAGTGGGCCAAGCTGATCGACACTCTCCTGAAGGAGCTACACTCTACAGCTGACCAGGTCCTCAGAGCCGTCGAAGAATCATGGGAGGGAACAAGCGGCTACACTCGATCGCAAGTTGAACTCGATAACGAGCCGAATGGTGGTGGCTCATCTGCGGAAGAGCTCCCAACATGGTCAGGAATCAACGCTGGGGCTGATCGTTTAATTGGCCTATTCCAGTATCTGTCTGATTGTCTGCGATATCCTACCAAGGCGCCCGTCACGATACCCACAAGCGCGCTTGTCGACGCTGCATCTCGGTTGCTTCTCATAGCCAGACTCTCGCCCAAGTCCCAATCTTGGGATCAAGCGCTTCAGACCAACGCTGCGATTGCCAGGGAAGAGAAGGATGAGCTTTGGGCTGCGTTACCAGATATCCACATCGCTGCTCTGCACCTCATTGAAGCCTTGTTCCAGCGTCTGGGTCAGAACGCTGTGTCTATTGCCCCAGAGGTCCTTGACCACCTTGTCCGAGTATTCAAATCAGGAATCAACCTTCCCATAGTCCGAACGACTGGATACACTGTCCTCAACGAGATCTTGCTTATCTCTGGCCCAACACTATCCAAGCCTTCGGTTGGTAGTTTGGATCCTGTATTTGGCGCTTGCTGTCGCGACTTGCAACAAGATGCGGGCCACCTTAAAGAGGCTGAGAAGCCAGCGGCGACTGGCACCGATAGTAAGAAGAACAGCATTGCTGCCAACGCTGATCTTTTCCTTCAGCCTCAAGCCGCCGCCGATGTCTCAAACCTGTCCCTAGAGCCCAAGCACAGGGCCGCTGCTGCCAACCTCTTGCCCATTATTCTGTCAAAAGTACCACAGCGACATCTCAAGGCTTCTTTGCGTGGTCTCGTTGACCAAACAGCTATCTTGACAAATAGCCGTGACGCTATGCTGGCAAGTGTTCTCAACCCATACAAGGACCAACGTGGGCGAGTGTATCCTAGCATTCTTCCCCATCTTACTCAACAATTCCCCGATGACAAAGATCTTGAGATTCTGCGTACCAACATTCGAGCGGGCGCTCAGAGTCTCGCTGAGGGTGAAGAGTCATTAGAGGCTCTCCCTATCGAAGAGGAGGAAGAGGAAGAGGAGCAAGATGAGGAGATGAAGGATGGTGACGTCGAGGAGCAAGATGCAGTGCCTGAAAAGAAGGGTGACCTGTTCAAGCCAGGAGCATTGCCCACAATTCCACATGCGGAGAAGAATCTCCCCATTCAGAGCAATCCATTTGCTCCTATTGAGAAGGCTGCTCCCTCAACTGAGAATGCCTTCGCACGGGCATCCTCACCACCAAAGCGAAAGCACGAAGGTTCAGATTCTGCACCTCCGAAGAGACAGGTTCTGGAAAAGTCGTCTTCTCCTGATCGTGTTCTCCCGGCGCCCATACCAAAGGCCCCAGTTGTGGCCAAGGAACCCGAAGAGGAAGAGGATGACGACGACGATGATGATGAGAGCGTTCATCTCAATATGGAACTGGACGATGATGAAGACGAAGATGAGGACTAGCTATTTCACGAGACATAGAAAAGTAATTTTAAGAGATTTATTGGGGTATAAATATATATGAACCGATCCCTAACCTTCTAGCCTTCATCGACCTTCTTAATGCAGGATAGCACGTCTACATCCAAAGTGGCCGTTGTCTCTTCAAGTAAATCCAGAAACGGCCCAACTCCTCCCTGCCATAAGAACGCCTGGAGCAATGATGCCACCTAGTATACGAAATAGAAAAGGTTCCGCCATGCTCAGTCCCTGAGCCAGGCGCGGCGCTTTTCCTCCTTGCGAGCCCTTCGCTTCTCTTTGAACTGCTTCAGTTCGGCCTTGGAAGGCTTCTTCCCGGAACGCTCTGCCTTCAAGCTTCGACCGTCATGGGCATTCGCTGCGGCCTCAACGTCAAAGAAGGCGTTCATCTGGCGCTTTGATTTGGCTTCATCACTATGACGCTCGGGCCCTTGGCCCGCTGCTTGGAACTGGCCTGTGAAGCGGTTGAACGTTGCTGTTGCGGCGTATATCTCCGAAGGGTCGGCGATCCCAGTGCTTGTGGTCGCAAATTGGTCTTCTTCCTGTGTGCCTTTTGCGTACCAAGCGTTGGGATCGTAATCGCCATGGATTGCCGGGTTGTAGCCTCCAGCGATAGGTTTCTCTGAGGCTGGAGGTTGAGGAACGCCTGGGGCGGTGCCTGGAGCAGCAGGTACAGGAGCGCTCGTGGCAATACGAGGGTTATCCCACTGAGACTTTCCGGTGAAACGATTCACAAAGAACCAAGCCTGCGTGTTTGGGTCCCACTGACAGTCCCAACCATCATCCTCTTGTTGCGGCGCAGGCTCGTTGGGCAACGGAGGGCCACCAGGTACAGGTTCGCTTGGCAAAGGTGGTCCATCTGGTGTTGGCTCTTTCGGAAGAGGAGGCGCATCCTTATCGTCGGGGCCGCTGTTTGGGTCCTTAGGAGACTCAGAAGCCTCTCCGTCTTCGCGATCAGAACTCTCCTCCACCGGTTCGATTGCGCCATCGCGCTTTGGCGATTCTGGCTTTTTCGACTGGGCTGCGGGCTCCTCTACGCCTGCGGATGGCTTAGGCGACGACATGGCGATTATTGTGGTTGTTGCTGCGATGTTGAAGCGTCTATCATCCCAAAAATGAGTTTACGAAAATCGACAGTGTCATCATGATACTTATGCACCTGGAGTTTGTCTTAGCAAAAATGAGCGAGTGTGGTTGTTGTCATCCAGTAAATGGAGTCGCAGGCTACGCTTCACATAGCAATAGTGCTTTATACACGCTGTCGAGAAACGAATCGTTGTCAGTGACGACGTAGGATCTAAAGAGAGGGTAAATGCAGATGCGAATAATAATGAAGAATGAATCAGAGGCGCCTGTAATGATGCGTAAATTAGGCGGGGCCTTCCCGGTAAAGCGGATAGCTCCAGTCACGTGACCGGTTCAACCTCCAAGCTTGTCAGTCTGGAATGTCCTGGAAATACAACTTATAACCTTGCATCTCAGTGCTGTACGACCATATAATATCTGACCCCGATGAGTCTATTCAGCGAAATTCATCATATCAGCCAATGCGGATTAAACTGCCGTTGTCGTAAGATGGTCTTACTTGTCCAAGGCCTCCCACGAGGGAATGAGGCTAAGCAAAGCCTCGACCGTTCTGAATGGGCAAAGACCTCCAGGAGGCCCATAAGCCAATTCAATAGCTTTCAGCTCTTAGCATTTATCAATGGCAATGCATTCGTCAATGTTTTGTCTCCGCTTCTATTGTTTTGTGGTTGATTAGTTTACAGCTATGTTTTGGCCAAGTCGCTTGTTTTGTATACATCTCACTTTGTTAGTAGCCACAGCTCATGGATCATCAAATGATGAGTGTGACTGCTATCTCACTAATGGCACCAACTCTGCATATTACTCACGACACAGCTTCTATGACTACCGAAACCTTGGGGACTATGCGGGAGTTCCCAGTCCTATCCAAAATGCTTCCAGAAAAGCAGGTGTAACAAGCGACTATTTCAACAGCGACACTTGGGATGACAGCTGGAGCATTCAAGACTGGAGCAATCGCGGGAAAGGCGTCAGTCTCTCAGGCGATGCAACTGTCCTAATGATCAACTCTCCCAACAACATCTACATTGAAAAGAATGACGACAAAGACGCAGCCTCGGATACGTTCCTCACTATGCGAACCATGCGGCTGCCCGGTTTCCAGAGCGCTGCAGAGTTCGACTCTGTGTCGACGTATCACTACGTCTCAGTACGGATGCTCGCTCGTGTCACCGGCAGCGCGGGTGCATGCATGGCTGTCTTCACGTACCTTGGGGGTGAAGAGCTGGCAGATGTACAAGAAGCTGATATCGAGATCATGACCCGCGATCCCAAGAACCGGGTTCAGTACACAAATCAGCCTTCTTTCACAGAGGATGGCGATGATATCCCCAAAGCTACTCGTAACGGAACCCTGCCCGAGGGTGTTGAGTGGGATGATTGGGTGGTGCACCGATTGGATTGGACACCTAAGCGCTCAACCTGGTATGCTAATGGTCAAGAAGTTGCCAGTATAGAATTCCAGACACCCAAGGACCCGGCACAGATCATTCTCAACGCGTGGAGCGACGGTGGCTCGTGGAGCGGGAATATGAGTCTCAATGGTGCAGCATATATGCAGATCCAGTGGATCGATATGGTTTATAATGTTACCAAAGACAACGAGGAGAAGAGAAGTTTAGATGGCAGGGGGTTGGAGAGAGATGCTGAGCAAGACGGTGAGCTGGTTCGACGAGATGATAGTAAGGGTGCATGTAAGGTCGTCTGTAGCATCGATGAGGCGGATGAGGCTGGAGAGACCAAGATACTTTCGAAGAGTGCGGCGTCTCACATGCTGGATATGCGATACGGGACAAGGACGATTGCGTTTGGAATCATGCTTTTGGCGTATATATAAAGCGTTACAACGTTGGAGCATATTTCCGGGTTTATACAAGTGTGCGTGGAATCGTTTTACGTGATTGAGCTCATGAAAGACAGGTATTTAGTTTTCAGGGTAGAATATCCCCATGTAATCCTCTTTAGTTCGTCATGTCTGACCTTGCCTCTGTCCTCAAAGACGATGGCTTCAACACTAACAATAGGGGTTCCAGAACATCGCCCTCTTCTCCCGCAATTCCCCAGCTTTTTCCCCTTCCTCACACTCTCACTATCGTCGATCATCTAAAGTAACAAGTCCCACTGATTATCCCGCATCCGTTCCGACCCGCCTCCGACTTCAGATCACAGGCCTCGCCCCAGTGTCAACTAGCAACTGGGGACTGAAGCAGTGAAGCCATTAATAACACTTACATAACGCATAACAAGCCTCGTGGGTATTCGGCACTACGCCAAGATTCACCGTGACTTGCTTGACCTTGTCCCACATCATGTGGCATCTTCCCCAGCTCAATCAAGTCTTGCTTGGTTCCTTGTTGGCTCCTATCCGCTGTGTCCATGATCGTGCATTTCTGGGGTAATATTATTGACTAGAGGTTCAGACGCTGTCCCACTCGGTGAGATCGACGATAGACAATGATGAAGAGTTGATGGAGAGCGATACATATTTCAAAAGATGGTATTCAATGCGTGCTTCGTTACGCAATTGCTATGTGCAAGTCCCAGGTCCCGTTATAACCAACTATTGTATGATTTGATATCTCAAAAAATAAACACCGCTTTCAACAGATCCTTTGTCTGATCATGTAACTTTTAGAAATTCTCAAACATTGCGTCTTCTGTAAAACCAAATCCCGACATCGTAATATAATGCTTGTGTTCTTTTTTCCAGTGTCCTTTCTGCGCCACTGCCCCATCAATTGTTTTCAGCCGACAGGTAAATCTCGCTCTGGAAATGATTTGTCGTTAAAAGTTGTGATAAGCGATAATTAGGTGCTTTTGTATATAGTACTGCGATAGCTGTTCAACACGATATAATCTCTATGCCGAATTGTTCTGTCTTTGCATGTAGTCGTCAAGTCCTTTGACGTGTCTTGCCATCAGGATGCTACAATAGCCCTACTCATCCCCAGCGGGGTATGACATGGAGAATGGGTATGGCTATAGGCCTCGCTGTGGTGAGCCTGTTGCTCAAGTCTGTTGCGGTGGGATATATCTATCGCACATCCCGCAGAAGAATCAACAAGTCAATCGCGTCGAAATTGCCTTTCAATCAAGTGCGACCGTTAAGTGTTGTTATCTTCATGAAGCATGCCAATGGTCCGCGAGGTTGATGTTAAGGAGTGGTTGGTTTCCCAACCCCCCAAACTCTCGACCATGGATTTCAAGACTTGAGCGAGCTGACGGGAGTATGGAGTCTCCCGTAATAGCAGCTCTTCGGGCGTCTGTCGGTGGATGGACCCTCTAGGTGACCAGTTCCAGAGGTTTGTTCGAGCAACATGTTCACCTCATGTTGGCTTGTTCGAACTGAAACTGTTGCCCATTGGGGAATGCCATGCTGGCACTCAATCCAAAGGGGTCCCAGTCCAAGCCATTCTGGTCTAAAAGCTGGGTCATTGATGGATACTGCGAGTGCGAGGTTTGTGGCTGCTGGACGGGTTCATGAGATGGTGTCATCTGGTGTCCAGGTCCGCTAGAGGCAGGCGACATCATCATAGGCTGCTGGTTCTCTCCATTGTAGCCTGAGGGGTATCCTCCATGACCAGCTGGTGTTTCGATTTCAGGCTCGTCAATCATACCGTCTTGTTCATATTCTTGCTCTACATGGTTGATTAGGATGTGTTATCGATGAGCTGACGTGAGAAAACTTACCAAGCTGTTCAATATGGTTTTGGAAGGCAGGAGTAGGGTAGTAAGAAGCTCCGGATCCTGTTTGACCTCCACGTCCACCGTTCTGCATCATCGATGATCGAGGGACCTGTGTGTTCTGAGGCATCTGTTGCTGTTGCTGCTGGGGCATCTGCTGGCGCGACATGCTAGTCATCGAACCTCTCATTGACATGTTATCCGAGGCGGCAGGAGAGAAGGCGGAGCCGGTATTACTCGGCGAGTTGGAATGAGATGATGGTGTAGGTCGATTCTTGGGTGAAGTAGCATTCGAATGAGGTTGAAGCGGAGGTGGCAGTACTGGCACAGGCTCAGCCTTGGGGGCGATGTTCGAGTTTGATCGTCGAGACTGGTGGTGCCGGTTCATAATCGCACGCTGGATAGGAGGAGGCTGAACGAGGTTCTGAGGCATATGGGTTGGTCCCAAGTTGGGACTACCCGTCTTCGCGCGAAGCTCAGCCTGGACATCGATTCCCTTTTCGAGGAGAATACGCTCGAGAAGCGAGTTCTTGTATCGAAGCATCAGACACTCATCGGCAGCAGTGCGGTGAGCCGTCTGGAGGTTGTGTAAGTTGGACTCATGGACGCGGATGGTCTCTTCGAGTTGCTTTATGTATTCAGTTCGGCGCTCACGAAAAGCAGCTTGAGCCTGTCGGTTCCTCTGCTTTCGCTCTTCGGAAGTCGCATAAATCTTTTCATGTTCTGTTAGTCGCTGTTCGAGGGCGGATGTATATGTGCGTCATGTTGTCTTGGGGAGAGACACCTGGGTAAGACCCGAGGTGAGAGCGGGGAAGCTGAGTTGTCGAGGTAATGTCTTGGTCTATCCCCAGTTCCCGCATCGTGTTGTTTTACAAAAAGCTATCCATCCTTGTAGTAGAAAGACGGAAAGCAGTGTGTAATGTAGGGTGCATATAGTGTAAGTAAAAAGGAAAACAAGACAAGACTTACAGGCTTGCGGCCGCCCTTCCTCTTGGGCTGCTGAGGCTCTTGGGTGGCATTGACAGCAGAGGATATCGCAGGGTGATGATCGCCCTCAGGGCTGGAGCCAACGAGAGAGTCGGTCTCTTCCCGAGAATGACCGTTTAGGCCGTTGAGATGATTGTTGTTGTTTTGGTGTTGCGCAGGATCCGCCTTGTCGATTGACATCTTGTCTGCCATTACCCAGACCGGGCTACTAGACGATTTGCCGCGCAGCGGCAAACGCCCCAGAGACGCAAAACGGGAATTCTGTTACGTGACGAGGTGGAACGTCAAGACGACGACGGGCGCAAAGAATCGAGACAGGCAAGTGTGCGCCCGTTGGGTTTTTGCTTTGCGGTTGCGGGCGTAAGGAGAGCGGGCGCAAGAGATAGGAAATGCAGCCCGGATTGGGGGTCGTACGGGGGTCAAGAGCGTACTGGAGTGTGAAAAGGGCCCTTATCAGACGCAGAAACGCAGACAAAACCAAAAACGCTTGGCTATCAGAGACGGCACTGGCTGAGCGACAATGATACGCGCTGCGTCTAACAAGCGCCTATCAGTTGTAGGTCGCAGGTAAGGGTCTTTGCAAAACGTAAGAAATTCTACCAAGAGATAAAAGACGGGCTGTAATTCGCGTCGAGTTCTTGGGGGGGACAGTTGCGATAACAGAGAAGGGGATCACTCAGGCCGCAAGGGAATACGGTTTTATGTAATGTAAATTAACAGGAGGGGGCAGCCTAGGAAACTCCTTCTTTTCTCTGTCGACTCGAGGGCCTTAGCCCTTGAGCCAATCAAGGCCTCGTATTCGAGGGATGAGAGTGGGCTTCCAAGGCCCATAAGTGGAGCAAGGAGACATCCACTAAAAAAACCAGTCCATCTCAATCTTCACCTTAAATTCTTCAGCATGGCCCCTTCACCTGAACCCATCCATCAATCAATCCATTGGTTTCGACATGGACATCCATCGTCAAACCATACCGAGTGCACGGCCCCATCGTGATCTCTTTCTGAACATTTCACATGAGGCATAAAATCGTGAAGCGTGCAATCAGTTGCCGACAAACAGTATGTGCACGCAGCGTCACTCGCAAGGGGCGAGTGAGAATCGAGTCTACCGTAGCAGAACAGACCAGGCCAGCCCACTCGCACTCCCACAAGACGCTGCAGCCATGCATGCCCTGGCACTCTCACATCCCACTCAACCTTGGAACTAACTCTTCTCGCCCATCCTCTTTACGGTCGAGCTGAACCCAGGATGGAAAAGACCAACCTGGCCCTGGTGTGAGACAGTGGGATGCCAGAGATACGCTCCATGATAAGCATACAAATGGTCTTTTCGAGGCTTGAGATTTGAAGATATAGAAAACCTTCAGCCCCTCGACCGTCATCACCATCAAAGCTTTGATCGTTTTTCGCTCATGTGTCGTGTGGCCGCCGGCTGAATGTTCGCTCGGCCGCCGGGCCACTCTCTCTGTTGGCTGAATTGATCGGCAGCTGTAACATCGGAGCCCCCGCTTTCGCTCCAGCCCTCTCTCACCGGAAACGCTTCAGTCACTGGGCGGCTTTCGAGAGACCAGCAAGGGCGGCTTTCGGTTTTCCTAGTGGTGTTCAACGGTACGCGGTGCGCCTTGGTGGCGGAGGGCATGTGCCAGAATGAGCTTCTCGTCTTTTATGACAGACAGCCCCAAATCTCGCACCCATTTCATTGACCCAATCATCGATCTGTTGTGCCGTGGTGGTTGTTAAAATTTTCAGCACTTGTTGCAATCTCTGACAGATGCCCTCCCTTGTCGATGGAATTCGAAGAACCTGAGCTAGAGCTCACACTGAGATCCGTTATGCCAGCATTCTGGTCCGTCATTTCGCTCTGTGCGGTCGATCATCCTGTCATGCTTAATTACACCGTTTGTTTTGGCTGTGACCCCAGCAGTTCTAGAAAACTCAGGGAACGACTATGACCCATCATTCTGGGGCTATCCCTCAACAGGGATCTGTTTATCTTGAACCCCCGCTGTGCACCCCAACCTTTCTGGCTATCATTCACATCTGATTGATGGAGGCTGCATCGAAGCCTTCAGCTCTTGTGGTCATCTGGTACAATATTGAGCAGTTGAGGCGCCGCTGGCTTCATACCTACACAATAGGTGAATTCGGCCCCCGTCACGACCGATGACCGGACTCTACACAATCACATCTGGCTTACGCTGCCAGGTCACTCAGACTGGTAAAGCACCGGGTGGAGATGTCAGCGGCATGAATGTCCAATAGTCAACGTATTTTGCTTAGCGCCTTTTCTCGAGGCATCTTGATCCTGGTTTCTAGAGGTCCTCCGAATCCTCCGAACCGAGTAAATTATCCACAGCCTATCCCTGCTGCATCATGTGTTCCAACTACACGAAGCTCCCAAAATGATTTGCGCATCTGGCTGTTGTGCTGTTTGAATAGCAGTCAGGCAGTGCAATGAGTGCAGCAAGTGATTGACGTAGCAGTCTCCTCTGACAGACAAATTCTAGAGACGATGAAGTCAACTCAGGGCACACTTTTTGGCCTATTTTAGCCTGACCAATGGCCAAAAGGCATACCGCGACATGTTAAGTTGTCTCTACGCCTGATGCTGTGTAGTGAGTGACCTGGCAGCCTGGGAAATTCTTACAGCATCTAACAAAGTCCTTCAACCCTTGAGAGATAAGCGAAACAAGCTTGTTGCATATCAATCTGATATGCGGTTGCTCATCCTTTCCAAAGACAACAGGCGCTACGTTAGCGCATGGTATGACGGCATATCCCAACATCCTGGCATAAAACCTTAGCACAAAGTATGCCAGCCAGGAACGGAAACGCTTCTTCAGAACTGATGATGGGCAGTATGCCATTGTGTTAAAACAGACTTTAGAAATACCGTTTCATCAAACCCAAAACCCAACGCCTCGATGGAACCTTGTGTCGAAGGTTCTCGCCTCTCCCCCAACAATCATAAGCTGGCTGAGGGCACAATGGCATATAATGAGCAAAGATCTGACCATGTATCCCCGGCCAGAGGCGACCAACAATCCCAGGCAATAGTTCATGCTCAAATGCTTGCGACGATGCATCCCATCTGCGTTTACACATGTGCCATGAGTCGCAATCATGGATAACCATCCCAGTCCGTTGTCTTTTAGGAACGGACGTGCATACGTAGGCCCCATGCCATGTTGTATGAGGTGGTTTAGTGGTGGAGCCTCACATGATGGAAAGAAACCTTTGGGTTCCATGGCCTTTTCCAGAAGCGAGTCCATGTCTGGTGAGGAAAACTCTGCTCAGTCGATTGTTCATTTCCTGTTGGTCCATGGCTTGCGGCTTGTTTGACTTTGATCGGAGCCACAGATCTCAAGTCCCTTTTTGGTAGGCGATAATTGCTAGTTCTGACTGTGGATTCACAAGTCAAAATTACGACTCCTGCTACCCCGGATCATCCATCCACATATTGTGGAATTCAGAGGAGTTGTGATCCCCATCTTGTCTTTTGACGGTGAGAGAGAGCTTATCAAATCTTAGCTTTGATACAAGTTGAAGCTCAAGCTGTCGTCTTGACTCTATAGTCCTCACAGTGTTGATGCTCTGATATGGCATCAATGAACGCGATATCAACCGATAATTGTGAATCAAGACTCTCAAGGTTGATGATGAGAGCACGTACCATACAACCACTTAAATGGTTGTCAAGCACGCCCTATCGATTCTGATGGGTTGGTTTCAATGGTTGAGGCTAGGCACACACGATGCAACCCTGTCTGCCTGTCTTGATCAATGAGAATCAGAGAGCTCTGCCAAGTAAGGTCGAAGATGACGGTTCGTCTCGCTTGACCTAGCAAACCCGCTTGACCTGCATCTCCCGAAGTGCGCCGGTATCCTGTCGTAACTTAGTTGGGCCTTAGCTTCCGCCCTTGGGCAACAACTTGAGGGTCTTCTCGGTGACGTTGTTCTCATGTTGATGAGCTTCAAGATCGGCATTTTGTCAGAGTGTCAGAGAAGATCATAATGCTACTCGATCAAGAAGGTGAATGTGTTTCATCATTGCCTCTGGTGACAAATCGTCTGGGCTGTGTAAGAGAGAGTTCTCAGGTCATGTTCCTCAGACATTCCTCGCATTAACATGATCTTCACTGCTCTTGGAAATCCCTAGCCAAAGCCACGCAACGTCGGTTGAATTTGCCGAAACTCTCATTCACCTTCCTCACCGAGCGAGAAAAACGCTTTCGCCTCAGCTGACTCTCACTGAGTTGACTAGGCTTCGCCGGGATTGTCGGGTCGCGCCATGGTGCCCAGGCGGGCTGTTCTCTTCGAGACATGGGGTGTTGCTTCTGGAAATTTTCTAGCGCGGCTCGGGTTACAGCCACTGTGAGATCCGAACAGGAACATCACCCCATGAACCGTGAAGGTGATGTGAGTCGATTTGGTCTCGGTTCCACGTCGATCACACATGTGTGAACAGCTGAGACAGAGCGGAGCAAGTGGTAGAATCCCCAGGAAGGGAAGTATGGATAAGACCTGTCAGGGCAGTTTACGGGCACGAGATCGAGGAGGACGTATTCGGTCATGGACTTTTGTTGAATGAAACCTTTCGACTATCATCTTACGCTTCTCCACGCCTTCTTTTGGCATCTCTCTCGTCGACACTGGCAAACTCTCGTGACAAAATATGATATTTCACAAGCGGAAGACTCAACATGAGACTGTTGGGAAGCTGTCGTGACAGGCACCAGATCGTGGTGGCATGATATCCGATTTGGGTATTACTTGCATGCCATGGGTAACGGATGAGAGCCGGTCGATCATATTATGGGCATATTGGAGCCGGCATAGGGATCGGTCTATCGTAGGATGTGCTTTCGACAAATTTCAGTAGTGTATTGATGGCATTGTGAAGTATACCGTCTAGACTAGAGCTCAGTAAGACTCGTGCCTGAGCAGCAACATCGGCATCGATCTTGAGCTAAGTACAGACTTGAGTATTCTAGTGATTTCATTTTGCCCTTGGATATGTCTTTTGTTAGAAGACTTGCTTACGACTTAGAATGGCATGTTGTTTTCGTTGGACCATCAACTGTTGATGTTTTGTGCTTTGGCCTCGTGAAACATGGAACAACGTGATTCTCGATTATCGTAGTGGTAATTTATGACTGGTTGGGCTATAGTGAGCGTTGAAAGTCTGGGTGTTGAAAGCATAAGCCATAAACCTGTGCGTTGGCAACTCGTGATGAACCCAACGGGTGTATTGACTTTGCGAAGGTTCAAAGTTTCAACGGTTTTACTCTATTATGAGTTAAAGTTAGTATTAGTAACACAAGCCATATGTTGCTATTGTAGCAAGAGTCAGACACGGTAAAGGGACCTCCAAGACATGTATCGTCATTGAGACATGTCTCTTCAGTTCGATAAACTTCAACTTGTAAACCTGATGTGATGTGCCACAGGGTAAGGTGAGCGATGACGATGTACAGTGCTGATACGATATTTGGTGCAAAATACTGTGGATGACACTGTGCATGGATACCCGTTGTTATGGAGCTTGGACCATGTAAACAAACCGCAAGCCCCCACCACTCACAACGTTGGAATTCACGCGCCATCTGGATCGAGAGAGATTTGACATCATACCAGAGACCCCCAAAGACATCACCCACGAGGATCACGACCCTTAATTATTGAAATTACCTGCCCAGTACTTGCATAGCTTGGAGTCTTGACCACATTCTTATTATACGCAATGTCTCCTCCGCGCCGTCGCTCGGCCCGGTTGGCCTCTGGTACTACCCCTAAGGTGAGATCCGTGATGGCATCATGCAATTTTCAAAGACAAGCATCCTGACAGTTGTGACAGAAACCCGCGACCTCCAACTTGACCTCTGTTGTTGAAGATGCCGAGTCGCCTGAGCGGCTTCCACAGCCGAAAAGTCGCAGCAAAGCCAAAGGCAAAAACAATGCCGTTCCATCCTCACCAGCTCCTGCGCCTTCGACCCCAGCGTCATCGGCCATGAAGCCTCCCCATGAAGAAATGCACCCAAGCAAAGCTCATCACAACATGGGTGAACCCTCCTCCGCGATGAGGCTGGGCTTCACAGACATCAAGGACACCACCCTCCCTGGCGTCTCACCCGACACACCGTCCAAGATTGGCGTTCCTGCTTCCGATTTCACGTTCCGATTCACGCGCGACACTACCGATTCCACCCTCAGTGGTGATGCGCAACGTCTGATGGAGGAGCTTCGCGGACAGGCTGCCAAGATCAAGGCTGATATGATCGCAAAGCGTGATGCAGAGGATGCTGAGGAAGACGCTCTTGGCCGCAAGATTGCTAAGCCCAAGGGCAAGACAAGTCGCTATAGCGCGGCGCATATGGCGGAGTTCAAGAAGATGGACTCTATCGAGAACCATGCGTCTGCCTGGAGAGCCCAAAACGGGCGATTCCAGCCTGTTGTCCAGTCGCTGAAGCGCACACCTTCGAAGGCTAACCTGGAAACGATACCAACTTCTTCTCCCGACAAGTCTGGTCTCAAGCGATCACCCTCAAAGGCCGAACTAGATGTTCCCACACCGTCGACACCTCGTATTACACAGAGTCTGAAGCGCAAGTCGTCGCGTGCTAACCTTGATGAATACCAACAGTCGCCTTCGCCTAAGAAGTCCACTATGCCTCCGTCCAACCTCCCTACCGCCATTCCCGCATCCTCCAAGAAGACACAGTTGTTCCCTAATGTACACCAACGCGTTCCTTCAAAGAGACTCAAGCAGCGAATGGAGGATGACGCAACAACAAACCGACCTCCATCACGCGATGACTCCTCGATTCCTCGACCCAAGTCTAGCGGAAGTGGTTCAACCAAGTTGCCTGCCTCGAGCTCAAGCCTGGCACGACTCATGAGCCCTACCAAGGCATCTCTGGCTCACACAGGCAAACCGACCATTTCTCTGATCAAGTCTCCTTCCAAGGTCGACCTGAAGAGTGGTCTGCCGAAATCCACCAGTACTTCTCATCTCATGCCTGGCAAACCGACTACGCCTAGACCTCGGGTCATTAGCCCAGGCCGCTTCGATAGAGTCAAGTCGATTTTGCGCGGAAACCGAACACCTTCGGGCAATGTCCAAACTGCGATCCCGCAACCCATGATCTCACAGACACCTGCGCCTCCCAAGGCCGATAAGGACAAAGCTTTGCCTCCTCTTCCGTTGACTACTCCTCGACGAAAGGTAACAAAGCACGTCGCTTTCACCCCAGAGGTCACGCGCATTGCATTTGAGCAGAACTCGCCTTCCCCACAGAAGTCTTGTCTCAAGGCTCAGTCAACACGAACTTTGGACCAGCAGTTCCAAGGCATTGACGGAACACTTGCGAAGGCGGGCTCTGGGGATGTAGTGTACCCTGATCTCAGTGGATTTAGACCACTACCCGAACCTCCCAGCAAACAAAAGGAAAATGCACCTCAGTCTGTTCCCGGCAAGTTCACATTCCGCAGTGATCATACGATCGAGTTTGCCGACGTTCCTGTGCTAGGCTTTGGAGCATCCCCCGGCCAGTCGAGTGTCCGCCAAGTCCGACAGTCACTCAAGCCCAATGCGAAGATGCCCGGTAGCTTCCCTGGTCCTACTTCCCCAATTGGCCTCAACAAGGAGAACAAGGAACCTGGCTTGGCCAAGATCCTGGTTGGAGCGCCTCATGGCATGTCCAACAAGAAGCGACACCGAACCAGTTGGGACGAGGAAGAAGAGGAGCAGAAGAGTGCCGAGCGTGCAGCCAAGAAGCGTAAGGCTGAGCATGTTCCTGAAGGTGAAGCCCTTCTCGCTCCCCGTCTTGTTGGCGGCACTCCCAGCGCAAAGAAGGTCCACTTCGGTAGCACGACACCGCGTACCCCTGCTTCTGCCAGCCCTACAAAGAAGCGCGCAGTTCTCAGTTTGAGTCGGCTTAACATGCTTGCTCGTCCTAAGAATCGAGCTTAAGTTTCCAAATGGTTGGAATTCACCAAAGAGCAGCTATAGCTGCGAACTTTTTGAAAATTGAATGTATAATACGACTTTATGTGTCTGTCGTATTCTGGAGATTGTCACGGCAGATGTTATAGAGTCACTGTTATTTGCTTCGTCTTGTAGCATGTTGGTCACTCGACTCTGCTGACACCCAGAGCTTGACACAAGAAGCTAATGATGAAGCGTGCTTTGATTAAGCTGGAGTTTCGAGATTGTTTTTACCTGGCTTTTTATGTTGACAAAGTCAATGACATGCTGGTTTTTTATTACCACACAAGACAAAGGATTTGGGTCACTCAAGGATTAGGGGGTTCACGGGGCGTTATGGCAAAATGCATCAGGTTCTGAGATTAAAATTCAGATGAGAATAGTTCATCATTGTATTTGATTGTATAGGGTTGTGTATAAACCTAGCACATATCTCTCCCTCTCCCTAGGACTCCTTTGTTGGTTCCGTCTGATATGATGCGTTCTTCCCTGACATGACCTGCACTTTCCTGAATGTGATGTGTTATGTCCTTGCTGTGGGTAGTCTTCTACTCTCATATCCTTACCTGATACCTAATATCCGATCCTAACTATGACACTCCTTCAGGGCACGATCTGGAGATCACCAAACCACGGTCTTGGTCTTCGGTTGCTCGACCATACGTTCTTTCATCACAATACCTAACATATTATCGAACGCATTTCTTTCCCTTTATTGCTTCTACAATGCCAAACCGTAGTCAGACCAACATATTCACCTGCACGTTCTGCTTCCACGTCTTTCAAGGTACCCCTCAAATCATCGGCCGTACTGGACGTCTAGCATGTGCAACATGCCACGCAGCGCTCCTCAACCTAGCCATATGCTGGGTTTGCGGAGAGCTCATATACCGAGGGGATGAATGTGTCAGTTTCGGTTGGTGTTTCTGGCATCGAGCGTATTACGGATGTCTACTCTACGGGAGCAGGTCCATTCATCAGGGGGTTTCAGTACACGAGCTCTTTCAGGAGAGCGGAGCCGAAGATCGAGTGAAGGAGGGATGTGGAGGGAGAGAGGTGACTGAGGTACCGCTTTGTGCAGCTTGTGTTGTGGAGGTCGAAGTTGACGGTGTTAAGGAGGATAATGTTGCGAAAAGGGGGCTGAGGAGAGTCGAGAAAGTGGATGGGGGCTTGACCAGGAAGAGATGGGAGGCCAAAAACAGCGAGAAGAACTTGAAGGTAAGTTGTCAGATTCGCCTCTGTGATCCTTTCTAATATTCATGTGCAGCAGTTCTCCCCAAGCCAACAGAGAATCCACAAGAACGAATACGGTATCGAGGCCGAGGACCTCACGGTCAACAAGGTCTCAACCGACTTCAAGGACAACTCAGAGTCAGTGATATGGGTCGACATCTTTGACCCTATCAACGGTCCTTCCTTTAAACCAAGCCCCCTGAAGCCTATACCGTTGTTCATGCAACGGCCACCGAGTCCCACCATCCACGAGCGCCAGCGCAGGTCAACTGCTGCCGATACATACCTTCAGCCTCCTCACGATCTGAGAAAACAGCATTCTGCTCCTTGTTCAGTCTGTCCCTCGGAATCGCCTGTGAGAAGTCGATCACCAGAACATCGTTCTCCGCGCCAACCATCACCAACTCTACCTAAAACCCCACCCTCTTCGCCGACTCGCAGCCACAATACTCAAAAGATTCCAGAGAACGACTTCCTCGACACGAATGACCGGCTTGAAGTGCGGCACAAACAAGCTGTTAGCTGGGTCAGCGTTGAGCCCTTGAAACGACCATCGTCTCGACTCGCTCCGTCACGTCGCGCAGAGGCCAATCGATCAGAGGCAGAGTCATCGGCATACAGAACACCTCCAGAATATCCAGATCAGGTACTGCGGACGCCGTATCCGCTTCCATTGTCAAACATCAAGACGGCTAGCCCCTTGCCCGCGCAGCTCACGTCGCACTCGCAACGAACTGTGCATACCACTCCGCAATCATCAGAGTATCTCGACCGTTACCAGCCCGCGACGACGAGATCAACGCAGAACCAGGAGGTGAGAAGACTGAGGAGGATAGATGCAAGTGTGAGTGAGGAGGGCATTGCGAGGACGAAGCCGGGACAATCTGAGGGAGGAGAATGGGGGAGCAAAGTTGGGTCTGAGTTGAGACGGTTCTTTACAGGACGATAGAGGATTGTTACACGGCAGTATGTATTAACGAAGCAGGGCCCTATTCACATGCGAATTATGTATCAAGTTTTACCAGTAAGAGAAGTTTGTTTACATTCGTTACGTGCTCAAGTATACAGTGAAATGGGGTTGGCAGAGCAGTATGAAGAAGCTATACAGGATGAACCTCTGAGCTTAGTGATCACCAAGAGGGAGAGAATTACAGTTTCAGCAAACCAATGAGATGGCTGCATTATCATGATCATCAGGACAAAGCCCGAGACGGATGAGGTGGAGGTTAGAGGTACGTAACTATGAGAGCGTTCATATCGGTTCGGCACCGGAAGCGGACGGCCGAGGCACGGAGCCAAGCGAGATCTTACCGGCCGCCATAAGAACTGTTGCAGGATAAGGGAGCTTTGTTGGTACTCAATTGGGCTAGAGATTGATAACGTGGGCGTTGAATTGAGCAGATTGAACGTTTTGCGATAAATTCAATGAATGACTGACTCTGTTTAACTTGGGAACTTGATCACATTGACTTTGCCAGCCACAGAAGCCCAGCCATAGCTACCAAGTAAGTCCAAGCTCTGGCGGGGTAGAGGCGGGTGAGTTAAGCCTCAGTAGTAATATTGAACTCTGCTTGATTTAGAGGCTGATGCATTGGGTTTATAATAACATTGTTACCGGGTAATTGAGTCAATTCAATGACTTTAATCACGAGCATATATACATTGCATCCGGGCATAGATCGTAGTCATATGAGCAACATCATCCTCTGGAGCTCAACCGCGGGGTTAATTGGCCTGTGCCAAAGGTAGCTCTAAAGATCCAATCCAGTTGTCAAAAGTACCCCATTTTCATGCCCTAAATTCCACTCACAAAATTCAATTGTGATTGCAACAAATCGTTAAGCGAGAACAAGGTTCCTAGCGCTTTGCGTGTGCGTCAGAGTTCCCTCAGCGTCCCACCTGACGACCAGTAATAACAGCTGCGTCAGGGCATGTTGTGCGCTGTATGTACTTGGAGAGAGTTGCCAGTACCGGACCGCACTTAGATCAGGTAAAATACAAAGACGCAGACGGAGCGGGAGTGGGAAAAAAAAAGAGGCTGGTCCAATTAATAATTGTATTAGTACATAAATTTGTTGCCAGTAACATTAGACCATGATTTGAGTCTTGATCGTGGGCACCATTAGGTCTCAAGAGTTGAAAAAAAAAGAAAAAAGGTCGAGAGGGTCACACCACACCAATAGAAGCCAAAAAAATACTTACAGTGCCTAAACCTTGCGAGACTGCCCTCTCTCTTGACTTTGTCTCGACTCGACTCGACTCGACTCAGCCAAACCTGACTGAGCCCTCCACTCCTACAAGTACAATCCCAATACTCGCTTCGGACCCCCCCCTCTGCTGGCTGGAGTCTGTCTCTACGTACGTACCTCACTCAACCAAACCCAAACCCAAACAAAACCACCAAAAAGCTCTTCCTCTTACAAGGTCATGCGACCGTAGACCACTCTTCGTCGCCCTCAAGATTTGAATTACGCCCCGGACGGAAGGCGATAAGCCCAAGGCGACGACCAAAGATGTCGGTTGTCACAAAGGTACGACTCATCTCTACTATTCTATTGTTTCCTTCTCTATTGTATGCAGTGTACCCCCTGCGATCTCGACTCGAGTTTTGATTTGGGGCGCTGCATTGGGTTGGCAATTTTGCACCACAACGCCGTTAATCGAACTCTCTTGTATGAGAACGTTCACTCTCGATGGCTTCAGCAGTCGCATTTGCTTCTGCTCCTCCTCGCCTGCTCTACGCCTCTGCTATTTCTTGTCGCATCGTCCGTCCTCTCGCCCATGATCCAAAACAAGCCCCTCAGTCCCTTCACTCGTCATCGCCCATCAGGTTGTTTGCCCTAACCTAACGCGACGGCCTGTCCCCTCATACTAAAACACCACAAATATGATACCGCAAATAGCCAAATAACCATGCAATCATGCTAACGCTCCGTCCAGAACCCTTTTGCCTACCTCGGTACGATTCCTCCTCTCCCCGCTTTCCCCGCGAGAAAGAAAAATCCAAAATCTTGCTTCATCGACTCCGATGCCCAATGCCCAATTCAATTACGATCATTCGTACTGACACATCGACTCCTCCACAGGCAACGACAGTGACGGCGAGGAGAAGCCCGTCGTTCCTGTCAAGACCGTTGACAAGAACCCTGCTCGTACTACTAAGCGTAATGTCGAGCCCCAGGCTCCCGTAAGGGCCGGTGGTGCTAGCGGTAACCGCCGTGGTCCCGGTGGTAACGAGGGTGGTGAGTTTCAAGCACCTGAAATTGAGTCCATGGTCAAAATACTGACTCGGAATAGCTTTCCGGGATCGTGGTGCTGGCAGCAACCGAAACCAGAACCGATCCACTGAGGAGGCTCCTCGTGATGGTCCCCGAGGCGGTGCCGGTGCTCGTGTCCGTGGTGGTGAGTAGCCCGAGAATATTGGTCATGGCGAACAAAAGCTGACAATCTGTAGGACGTGGCGCTAGACACGCCCGTGAGCGCGATGACCGACACCCTTCCAAGTTCGGCGGCCACGGGTATGCTTGACTGAATTCCTCAGGTCTCGTTCGACATGCTGACAGAATATAGTGGCTCTGACAAGCAGGCTGCCCAATCCTGGGGTGCTAACGAGGGTACTGCTGAGCTTAAGGACGAGCAGGCCGGTGAAGCTATCGCTAAGGACGAGCAAAAGGATGCCGTTGCTGAGGACGCTGCCGCTGAGGCTGCCGCCGCCGAGGAGGAGGCCGAGAAGCAGGTCTCTTACGAGGAATATCTCGCCCAGCAGGCTGAGAAGAAGGCCGCTCTCGACTCTGGTCTCAAGGTCCGTGAGGCCAACGAGGGCAGCAAGCTCGACAAGAAGTGGGCCAACGCCAAGCCCCTCGAGAACGAGGAGGAGGAGTACTTCGCCCCTACCGGAGGCAAGGCCCAGCGCCAGCGCGAGCGCAAGGTCAAGCAAACCATTGACTTCGACCCCCGCTTCGTCGAGCCTGAGCGCACCCGAGGTGGTGCTCGCGGAGGCCGAGGCGGCCGTGGAGGTCGTGGCGGAGAGCGTGGTGGTGACCGTGGCCGTGGAGGTAACCGCGGCGGTCGCGGCGGTGCTCCCCAGGGATCTGCTAAGGGCAATGCTGCTATCAACACCAGCGACCAGTCTGCTTTCCCCAGCCTCGGCGGCAACTAGATTGCCTAAGCCGAAGCCCGCGCGCCTCGCACAAAGAGAGCGCCCCCAAAAAATCCCCTGCTTGCACCCTCTCACAGCATAAGGCAAACACGGGTCAACGTTCATGCATGTCCCACGCCCTCCCCCCTTTTTTCCTTTTCCCCCATCAACTCGCCACGATTATAAGAAGGGGGTGGAAAAGGATGCCATATTCGTTGTTCTTCGACAGGTTGAAATGAAAAAAATAAGTTGACCATTGGTTTTTTGTGTCTGGCTGGATGGTCTGCGTCCAACGGGCAAAGTGCTGCGTGATATAGGGAGGATTTGAGCTCAGATCTCACTAGCTCTGCTGCACCCAGAAATATTTCTGTCCTCTAGGTCTTCTCGAAGGTTTCCGTACAAAATTCATTTGAAATGCTCTTATATCTTTGCTGTTTGATGTGTGATTCACCACAAGATGAATGAACTGGGTTACAAACAATGGGTAACCTCGACGCCCTTACTGTAAAGTATTATATTTACATATTAACGCCTTGTAGAAAGAGTCCACTCATTCGTTGTTGTGCATTACTCGATTGGCTTACTGGCTGTCGTCGTCTGTAAGTCAACATACCTCACCCCCTTTTCTAAACTAATAACCGGCACTCAACCTTTTCAGTGCTAATGAGCTTAAGGAACTCCCTGGGTTTGTCAAGTTCTTTGTTCTTACCGTATAAATGCTTACTATACAAGCTCACAAGCCAATGAAAGGACGCAGCCAGAATCTGATACATCACATAGCACCTGTCAGGGGTATGGGCAGATATCATATTACGAACGAAGCACTTGATATCCTAACAAAAGGAAGACTTTAGTTCTCTTAAGAGAACACATAGACTGTTTACGGCTTGAGATATTGTTCTTCCCAATGAGCTAGTCGTTCGATGAAGCCATCCTTGGAGCCAGCATCCAAATCAGCCTTGCGAGGCGCCTTGAAGCCACAACTGCACCCACCTGACACCTCGAACACTCTCCAGTGTTCTCTAGAGCTGGTAAAAGTAGTCCTTGTTCACTGGCAGTTACGTCGTGCTCGTAATGGCAGCTCTTAGGCAGCTGAGCTGGAGCGACTCTGACTTGAGGCGTAACTCGATCAATATTCGGTCTTTAAAGCCCAGTTGAGCTCCTATAAGCTCCAAGAACTGACCCAGGATTCGATTCTATGAGTTAAACTACTAAAATATGCTTGAGTCTGCATTTTGATGGCCCCGTTGGCCTCAACGTCGTTGAACGCGCTCTTTCTTGCCTAAGCCCCTTTCCCATCAACCACATCATTTAGAAAGTATTGAACTGTTGCAGAACAAGTGAACAGGATAAGATGATTGTTCAGTAGCCATAAATGCTGCTTCTAGAGATTTTGAGTATAAAAAGCCCATCTCTCCCATCGTTTTTATCTATACTCACCTCACAGTCAAACAACCTTTTGAAGATACCTCAGTAAGCCTGCAACAACACAAAAACAACTTAGAAGTATTCTTTGTGACCACTCCACGCTTAGAGCCCTGCCTATTCTCAGTAGTAGCCGAGCAACCACAAACCACCACAATGAAGTATTACCAACCTGTCGACCCTGAAGACCAGGAGAGCGAGGCGGATAATATCTTCGAGAAGTACCTTGAGCGCTTCTGCCTCAATATGGAGTATCACAAAGACAACTTCAAGGACGACTGCAGGAAGGTTCGTGATGGACTCCGAAAAAAGCTCCGCTGCAAGCTCGAGCAGCTCAAGAAGCTCAAGAAGCTCCCGGAGTCCATGCGTCATCGTATCAAACGTCGACGTTAGGTCAACATCTCTCTTGACTTCGATCCGTAAGTTTGATCACAGAGCTGACGAGATAGGAGACGAGACATCATGGTGAGACCGAAGAACACTTGTGTAGGTATTAGAAATCTGGGTTGAGATCCAGGGGGTGTAGTACATATTTGACAACTTTCAGCACTGATATCTGGTACGGTTTAGAATAGCAGTCTCAATAAATTTGTATGCGCCTCTCATATCATGTTCCTTTTTTAAGTAAGCGATGTTTTGCTATGATAATAACGCTAGACTGGCGACCCTTGTAAGATGTATTGAAAGGAGAGAAGAAGGCTTTTCATTTATTTCGTATCTAGTAACAAGAAGACAGAGTCGCTAAAATGTATTACACCCGATGTGAAAATGTGTGCGAAGCATCCATTCCAAGAGAGAATGCCAGCAAAACAGCGTTAAAAATGGCCATCATGTAGAATGGCGCCCCGTTAGAGAGCTTGTCAAAGAGGAAGCCCCCTAGCTTAGTGAGTAGCAAGATGGCAAAGCCGCCATACAAAGAATACACGCCTGCAATAGAGCCTTTGAGGCGGATGCGAGAGACTGACTCTTGGTCTGTCGTAATGCTGATGAGAGGCCGGCTCTCGTCGTTGGCTGATTCGTACTCCTCTGGCTGGAGTAGGCTTTCTGGGCGGGCGGTTCGAGGCAGCTCAACTGCAAGAACACCACGGCCGAGAGAACCAAGACTGCAAACGATAGCGCCGATCTGGCTGATACCAAGAAGTGAAACAATAAAGAAGATTGCGGGGCTACCGCCTCGGCCATCTACGTCCTTGATTTCAGGACTGGAGAGCTGTGGAAGGGCGATGTAGCCTACAATACCAAAAACGGTAGACACGACGATGGGGTAGTTGATGCGACCAGTTCGACTGGCAAGGTATCCGAAGATGGGTGCGCAAATAAGGCCCATGAGTTGCGCCACACCAGTAAGGATAGAAGACAGAACGTATGCAGCCCTGCACTCCTCCTTGAGTTCGGGCGATGAATCGTGAGGTGAGCCTTTACAGAACCCGTTGCTTATGTAGAATGTGTTGACGTAAAGAGGGATGAAGAGTGAAATAGCAACGCTTGAAGCTCGGGCAACAAAACCGCCAACATAGCCAAGTCCGATTCGTGAATCAACGAATCCAAGGAAGACTGAGTCTTTCATGAGGTGGAGGTACGGCGCAAGCTTCTATATCTTGTTAGTGGGAGCTCAACCAAAATCGAAAGTGCTGGACTTACACGTCGCTCACGACCGTTTCCATTACTCGATTCGTCATCGCTCTTCAGTCCCAAGAGCATTCGCCAACCCTTACCCTCTTCACCTTTGATGTTGCGCAGACCGATCGCAACAAAGATAGACACGGCCAATGCGACACCCGCAACAACGTAGAAACTATACGATACCGCCTCAGCGGGGGTAGTGCCTTCATTCTCGCCAAATCGCGCTGGGAGTGGGAGGAACAGCGTCAGTGCGACAAGTGCACCACATCCCGTAAACAATCCAACGAATCCCGCTAGCTTGGATGGTCTTCCTGCAGCAGTATCGGCGGTATCTGTCGTGCTTGGCTCAGAAATAGACTGCGTGTATCGTTCCTGGGTGATTGTCGCTTCTGATTCGACAGAGAAGGCAATGCTGCTCCGGGCTGTCGCATTGTGGAGAGCTTTAATTCTGGCTTGGGCTTCATCCTCCTCGTTGTTGCTATCGTCCGTCAAGGATGGGAGTATCGCAGTTACCATTGTGGCCCTTCCAAAGTTAGCAATGCTCGTTCATGTAAGCTATACTCTCTGTGCCTCAACTCACGCTGCAGATGCGCCGATCGCGAATAACACGCGAGCCAGCAACAATTGGGGATATACAGTCTTGGCCTGCACAAACAGAGCCAGCGAGACGCCGATTATCGCGTACCCAATGACAGCGACCCATCTAACACCCAGACGATCCGACACAAGGCCCCATCCTGGACAAGCGACGAGCGCAACGAGCTCATCGACGAAGCCTAGAGTTCCCACGACATCACCAACGCCCTCCTTCTGCCCAATCAGGTCGGTGATAACAAAAGAAACAGAGCTGTTCAAGAAAACAAGAAAGGAGATCGAGAAGAGCGATATGCCGAGAAGGTACGTCAGTGCCTGGAGAGGCGTCGTCGACGGCGCAAATGGTAGATATCGCAACATGGCGGGGTTCTTTCGGAAAGATTATTGTTTTGGCAAAGAGGAGGGATAATCACATTGCAGACGCAAAAACAAAACTGGTATTTGGGGCACGCGGAATGTTGACGTACTGGTTTGTTCTAAGCGCGATGTGTGTAGACTATGTGATGAAATGCCCAAACAATAATAGTGCTAAACAATAAGGGCGGATGACCGGGGAGCTACCGTCCGCACCTAATTCCAGCTTGAAGCTCGGATATCGCATGACGGGGTCATTACATAATCTTCACGCATCATGTATGTACGCACCCGATATCGCTCTCGGAGAAAAGAGCATCGTAAGATGTTGATTGATTCAGTCTTGGAACACGAACTTTGTAGCTGATGCTGAAAAGTGAGTCTCAATATCGTGTGGCGTTCAAGTTGTTACACCATAATCACGATTCGCTAAGATCAAGCTAGCTCCATATATGTCATGTCTCCATGTATAAGTCAGGTTCACCATATAAATAAACATAAACATCCATATATCTAGCGGCTTTTCAACCCCTTCCTATAAGCTTCTGTCTACGACTGCCTTCATGATCGGCTCCATGCTGCATTCCAGTGATACAAGATACAAGTTACCCATACTCCATGCCCGTGCCCAAACTCCATTAGTCCATTATCTTGCAGGTCCCGTTTCACCAGGCCCAGAGCACCTTGTGGTGAAGAGTCCTGGCACCTAGCCTCTCAAATTCGAAAGGTGTAATCCATGAGTCGTTGGTCGACAGCTTAGCAAACACACTGGCACCCTTCCAGGTGACAACTTGTTCGTCCATATCTCTCGCGCTTCGACTCACGAGGATCCGATCGCTCAGTTCGGGTCGTCGGGCCTTGATCTTCTCCTCCAGTACAACCGTAAAGTGAGGAATTTTGGCACCACCACCAATAACCATGATACTTCCAAGTAAGTCTCGCAGCTTCTTCTCATCGCCCTTAGCGGCGTTCTGAATACTTGTGAGAATGGCAATGTCGAGAGGAGCGACCGGTAACACGGCGTCTCGCTCAGCGGCCATGGATTTAGCGGTTCGGGCAGCAGCATCGACAAACATGCCTGCTGGTGGTTGTGTTTGTCCAGGATTAGGAGTGCCTCCAGCACGAGAACCATTGGGCGCTGGGCTACCTCCATTCACACCATCCCTGTCCTTACCAAATACATAGGGAAGCGGCGTGTTAGCGCCCTCCGGCGCAGGAGATCCGGCATGAGAACCCATGGGTGTTCCATTGGTCATGCTCTCCTTTGCTCCAAGGAAGTTGAATTGTTTGTTCTCTTTGATAGGAGTTGAGATATCGGGCTGTGACAGTGTGAAGCCATTGGCGTTGGACGTTATCGACGGCTGGACAAGCGCTAGAATAGCTAATTGGGCGGCAGAGGTTGGATCGTCTGGAATATCAACGTCGTAGGCGTTGTAAGATCTCTCAACCAGCTTACGACGTCCTCTTAGCTTGGCGCTGTTGTCAAAGATGGCTGGGTCATACACTCCCATCGGAGCCAAGATGACCTCATCGTATGTCTTGAAAGCGTATTTCCGCGTTGGTTGGTTAGGAGCCCGGACATGGAAGTTGAAGAGTTGGACAGAGATATCTGCTTGCGACATGGTGCAGTGCTTAATCTTCAGCTCTTCAGCCAGAAGGAAATCATATCGTCGTCGTAGGTTCATGTCCTGGTAAGGAAAGTTGTCGTAAAGCATCATTTTGAGGAATGTGTCCGTGATATCGTAGCCTCCATATTTCAGGTTGATCCTTGAATCCTCGATGACAAGACCGTCTTCCACACAGGTCACGGCCGTCTTCTGAGCTCCCACATCGACAACACAGGCTTGTGTGTACCCAGCACCAAAAGTTGCAGCCATTCCTTCCTGGACAAAACACACTCTGGAGAATTCGAACCAGGTCATGCACGATCGCAGGATTTGCTCCACGTATTTCTTGTCGTATAAGTCGGGAATGACAAAAACGCAGCTGTACTGTTGCCATTCGCTGTTTGTCTTCAGTCCAAGCTCTTGCCTCAATGCCTTGTCGAGTAATGTTTCAAAATCATCATACATATGCTCCTGGCTTGTGTACCCATCTTCATTCCACTGTCCATGTTGTATAGGCCACCAAAGCTTGAATTTGGGATTCGAGTCGTCGGGAACACGCTCCGCTTGGTGTCCAATAAAGCACGAAGCTAATGAGTCGGGGTCATCGAGCGTTTCGATATCAGTCCATTCGATCTCAAGGGGGTCATTGTGCTTCTGAATAACTTCGGGTTCCGTACGGCGGTTGAAAGTCTGAACAAGTTCCTTCGAGTTGGGCAAGACTTTGCGCTTATTGGCTCGCATCTCGACCTTGAGGTCATTGCACATCTTATTGTATTTCTTTGACCACTCTTCGCCATATTGTTGATCCTGGGTCTTGGCCTCAAATTGTCGTCGTGGTAGGGCCTCGTACATCTCAGACTCGGTCTGAGGGAACTTGGTCGCTAATGTCATCGGAATTGTCTTGGGGAGGGCGTCGCTCGCAAAGCCTATTCGAAGATTTTGACTGCCTGGGTGGATCACAATGACCCTTGAGGGATCCAGGCCAGCCGAAGGTGTTGTAGCACCATCTTCGTCAGGAAGGTCTGCGACAGGAAGTGGTAGCTCCCCATTGGCAGTCTTGGATAGAGCGCGATCTCGGTCCCGAGCACTTTGTACTAGTCGATCTCGGGTGGCATCGCTCTGGAGGCGGAGGGCGAGGATTTGGTCATCGCGCTTCATGTAATCACTAACAAAGCATCAGCATAAACGCCGCTTATTCGAAAGGGTCATCGTACGTATAATAGTTTTTCTGATTAATCGGGGTGACATCAGGCCATGTCGTCAGCTTCATGCCATTGTCAGTTCTCTCGAGACCTACGGCAATCTGTCAGTACATGTGTCTAAAACGACAGCCGAGTCGCTATCGACAAGTGATAATGAAGCATACCTTCCCGCAGGAGGACTCTTTCGCTGACTTTCCCAACCATATTGATGGACTGGCCTTGGCCTTTCTAATGTTGCGGTGGAAATTGCGCTGAGCAAGCTCACATCGATAGTGAGTTGATTGAAGAAGCTTCCCGCGCGCCCTCAACAAGCTCTCAAAAACACCAGGAGCGCATTCATGGTCTGAATCGCGGCATCGAATTGGGTTTAGCGCAAAGCAGTCGGACTTTTAATGACCCGGGACCTCGAACAGGCATTGGCAATAGGATGGGTCCGTGTAGTGTCTTCCCCACAAAGAGGCTATTCGATAGAGTTGCGGAGTACAGCTTGAATCGGCGGCGGAAGTATTCTATTTCAACCACTAAATCCGTATACAAATACTTTGGACAATACCCTGTTGTTCCAATCACTTATTTCTCCCACAATGAGGCAGGCTTTGTTTGATCTGGAGTTACACGAGCCATGACCCAGATACTTGGGGCGATATTGACATGTGCAAATGTCGGAGATCACTACTAAAAGGCCCCTAGTCAACACTGCTGTTCCCTCTGCTATTGCTATTGGACGTCTATTTCTTCCTCACTCCCGGCCGGCATTCAGTAAATGAACATAGAAAGATATGTACCTTTGGGGCTTGCCAAACTGCTGCGAATTTAAGTTATAGGGTTGTCAGCTTATCCGCCTCAGCTGCATAAGTAACCAGCTTAAAGCCAACACTATTTCTAGACTTCGGAATAGTTGCGTCAGCCTCAAAAGACGCGTCTGTCTCACACCATTGGTACATTAGCTGCTTGCAACTTTTGGTCTACAAGAAAAGCCATTGCCAACGCCCCTCATCCGATAGGGCCAGTGGGGTTCTGCATCATGGATGTAGCACGTTTAAACACACCCAACTCGGGTTGAAGGCCGCACTTCTTGCAAGGGTTCCATAAATATGTACACATTCCTTTCCTGGGCTGCCTGGCTCTCGTAGATCTTGCTTCTCCTTTGTCTTTTGCGCTGTTTCCCCTCTCAGTAAATCTGTAGGAGCTCATCAACACAGCCATGGATGCAGCAAAGTCAAGTTTGAAGGCCTCAGCTTCTGAGAGTTCTCAATCAGAGTTGTTAACCAGTTTTGCACCCACTTCTTGGTCAGGTCCAATCATTCTTGGGGCTGTTCTTGGTTATGTCGTACTCTGTTCTCTTCTGCGTTTCTCCAGAATTAACTCGCTTCGATCTAAGTTGGGGTTTCACGACCGCGCTTCGTTGAGTCGCATGACAAATCAAGATGCTTTTCAAGTCGTTCAGAATATCGCTAGATTCGAGTTCCCGTTATTCTATGACCTTGCGGTTCGATTGGCTCTCTTTGAGGTATGTTTAGCTAACTACCTTACTAGGTGCCGAGTTGGTGTCAACATTTAAAGCTTGTATATTAACGACGTCAATACATAGACATATGCTGTTCAACCCGTCGCTCATGTTCTCTATGGCGGCAGCGATCTAGCTAATCAAAAGACAGCGCCCAAAAGGTATTTAGATGAGTGTCTTAGGATCTTGTGGCTTCTACTAACAAATACTAGATATGCAGATACTGAAGCCGTCTATGTCTGGTGAGTTTACTTGGACTACATTGCTAGAGTTATGAAGACTAACATGATGACAGCTTCGCAAACTTTCCCCCTACGTCGCCTGTTCTTCATAAAGCGGTGGCGCGCACAAACTTCCTTCATGCTCCATATATCAAGAGCGGCAAGATCAAGCAAGAAGATCTGCTATATGTGCTTTACGCCTCTTTTGCTGAGCCTGTTCGGTTCCTCGACATCTATGAGTACCGCAAACTCACTGACATGGAAGTTGCTAGCCTGTCAACTCTGTGGAAGTATGTTGCAGATATGATGGATATCGACTACAGGACTGTGCTCGGGAAGAATGAGTGGACGGATGGTCTCGAATTCTTCGAGGACATGACACGCTTCGGAGGAGACTATGAGGACAAACATTTGCGCCCTACACCGGAAATCCAGAAACTAGGCCATGTTCTTATGGACATGCTGTTGGATTCGTATCCCAAGATTGCCTCTCCGCTTGGATATCCGGCAGCTTGTGTCCTTATGGGACCTCGCTTGAGACGAGCATTTGGGTAAGTCTTTCGTTCATACCATTTCCAATTCTCCAATCAGATACTTACATGAGAACAGTTTCCCAGAGCCGGGTTTGGCTATTACAGTTCTGACATATAGTCTCTTGTTTGTTCGAAAACTCATGGTCCGCTATCTCTGCCTCCCTCGCTTAGCACCCTCCATATACCTTTCCGATCCTGACGAACAGACCGGGCGTATCAAGTCATATCATTACATGAAAGAGCCGTTCTATGTTCCTCCCACTTTCTGGCAACGCTGGAACCCCGAAGCTATTATCACATGGCTATCTGGTGGGTTGCTTCCTGGCGACGGTGGGCCTAGTATGAAGTCCGAAGGTTTCCTTTTTGAGGATTTGGGTCCTGATAAGGTTGTTGGAAAGGGTGTTGAAGAGGCGAAGGGTTTCGAAGAGGTTGTCAAGACGAAAGCGTTTGCAGGTTGTCCTTATAAGTCGTCCAAGAACTAGACTGTTTCTTGGGTGACTGGAAAGAAATATGTAGCATATGACATGGCAGATGAAGCTCTTAATTGGTTGTATGTATATACAGATAGATGGCACCATAGATTGGCCAACATTCAGCGATCTTAGGATATCTCCGCCAGCTTGCTGTATATATTTTATGAATTAGGTGTTCTATTGGAACTTGGGAGTCCATACAATACTCGGTCATCTCCAAGGCGCACAGCATTTTGCAAGCTCATAAATATATCATTAGGCCATATTGACCGATTCTTCTACATTGAGCCATCTCTCCATATCTCATCGCCGAAAAGTGTTGTTGTAAGATCAACTTCCATCGTTCAACATCAAACTCAATCTTTCCTCCGTCACAACCGTTGCTTTTTTAATTCAGAGATTTCTCACCATTTTGATGCATTGGATACTCTACTAAACCTCCAGTACATGGCCTTCGTATTGTTTATGAAGAGGAAGAAAAAGAAGCTCCAGCGCCGTGCAACCTCAGGGTAGTTGTGTATCCAATAAGAGTCTTACGTCACTCTATCGCAAAATCCAAGTTGAGAGGATAGGTTCCGTTTGTCCAAGAATCAATTCTCGTATTCCGCATTTGGAAATAGGAGGACGACACGGAACTATCGACGGGAATCTGATCGGCATTTCCCCGCTGACTGCAGGTAACCGCGTGCTAGGCACCAAGAGCAGATCACATGACGTAGTTGGCATCCATCGCCACTCTCTTATTCAGACAACATCTCATCGCACTCAATGTTTTAGGACAAGTACTTTACAGGTTTCAAAACCTTGGGGTAACACGAAATCTTACCTTGGAAGAACACAAGCACTCGGAACGCAGGAGAGTCAACCAAACACCTTCATACAGGATTAACGTCAAGAACTCACCAATATGCCTCCAATTCCTATTCACACCTCAAGCCCTATCACGGCAGCAAAGGCGTCAGGAATCACCCCAAAGACAGCACATTCAGATGACACAGCGGCGCCAGCCGAAGGGCCTGCAAGCAATGAAGTGCCGACGTCTACTTACCCGGCAGCTCAGCCAGGCGCTCGCCCGTCTATGCCAGCTCCAACTGGGGTACCTCAACCTTCCGCCAACATCCAGCCAACTCCAACGCGGGCAGTTGTAGATTCGAGCCCCCCGGCCCCGCAGCCGGGAGCTGTACCGGAGCCGCAAAATGGAGCATATTTACCACCACCTCCAAAGGCCGGCGAGACTTTACACGAGACACAAACACAGTTTACACCAGCACAAGTGCCCTATGCGCCTATATCCAGCGGGTCAGAGTTCGCCGCTACCCGTTCAGCGACGACTGCAGCTCCTGTTCCTGGCCCGTCCCCTATGGCTGGCTTGGGCCCAACCGGCATGCTAGGCGGAGGCTCCGGAAGCGACCTATCTCATCCACCTGGTTATCACCAAAACGTGCACGCGTCCGAGTTCTCCAGCTCCCAGCGTGCGGCTCACGAAGCATCAGTCTCCCAGGAGCGCAGGCCATCTCTGATAGGAGACAACGATGAGGAGGGAGTCTGGTCGGCCGCCAAGAAGTGGGCTTCGGCTGCAGGCGAGAGTCTTGCTGCAGCCGAGCATGAAGTGTGGAAGAGGATCAACAAGGAGTAACTGTTGCATCGCGCAAGCAACAGCCAACAGTACAGGCTAAGGTAGGGAACGGAAGACCGGTTCGGCATGATAGGGCTATGACCGGGATACGATAACATTAACGTTTCCCTGAGAGTTTGTTCAATATATTAATGTTTTAAGGGGATCGGACCCGTTGTGGGCGATGTTTCTGCTGTTCTATTTCCAGAATCTCCAAGCGCTGGGGGAAAGACGGAAACGTTGTGACAGATACAGAGTACAGAGGTCAGGGCAGAGGCCTTCCAGAAGTTATCTTTTCCAGGGTGCTAGGTATGTAACGTAGCAAGAAAATGAGAGAAGTTCATTGCGGGGAGATTAAAGTGTCGCAATTGGTTCATGTTGTTCATTTTGAGGGAATCGACAAGGCCTGAATCATGCTCACTCCCAAAAGGTGGTGGTGTAATTTCCCATTTGAGTAGTGATTCAGGAACGGATGTATGAGACCCTGGCCACAAAACGGCCTTACCGGGCGACCCATAGAAGAATTATGGAACGCTTGAGGAAGATGAGCAAAGAAATTCTGTTGGAGTTAGTGCACGGCAGATTATCCTGCAACTTCCTCTTTACGATACAGCTTATCTCGAAGCGGCAACGGGCAGAGCATCCTCTAGCCGTCCTGAGGTTGACGGCCGCAGGGTGCAGCACATGCCATCAAGATCAAGATCACGATATCGTCACTATCGGAGCACTTCAGCAAACCTTCAACAGCTTGAGCATTGACGCGTTTATAAACGATTATGCAAGTCTATTGTTAGTTATCACGTCAATTGACAGCCTCGTTTATGTTCCGAGCTGTCGGGCGTCAACCCAAGTCTGTGGAAGAAACCACCGTGCTCACTGTGGAGAGTCATCATAGCTCCAGGCACAGGTTCAGGCTCAGGAACCGGCTCAGGCACAAGCTCAGGCACGGAAAACTCAAGAAACAGCTCGTAACACACTGACAAATAGATGACGCGTTGCGCTGGAATAAATTGTTGCGTGTAAAACTGAATATGCGAATGAGACTCTACAGAAGGTCCCTCCCTACATAACTAGCTATGGATATGAGACGAGGGGAAGCACTGGTCGGATGATATGGATGCAAAGGAAAACAACGGAGTCTCAACGCGATGTAACAGTATCAACTGGGCTATTCCCTGACCCCTAGAGAGGATCCGGTACTTGTTGTGAGATGCGAAGATGATCTGAAGGCTTGAAGACGGTGGGTTTCTAAGTACACTAGTCGTGATACATAGCAGCGGATTCCCGTTCCATGAAGGAATCGTGGTGTCGTTCGATGTTCAGGCGTATCGATCTTGGTAGGAACGGATCTTCAGGTGTAGCAAATTTAGTAGCTGAGCTGAGAGCTGAAGAATCGACTAAAACATTAGAGATGAAAACAAATCGAGATCGGTTGCGGACTGAGCGATAGATTGTCAAGATGAAAGGACCGGCTGTTTGGAGATGCTCTTATCTACCGTGAGAGAAAGTGAACGCCATCTGCTATTCATAGCCTAAATGATCCACAACAATTAATTGAAGTCCACCATCTACCTTATGTAAATGTGCTCGGATTGAGCTCTGACGTGGTCCTCGCCTAACCGACTCGCCTGTAAGATGTGGCTTTCCAGGCGCAAAGCCGCTGTTGGTGAGCTTGTTCCAGTGAGCTTCTAGTGGGTGGGTGTTTAAACATGAGCCACGAAATCAGGCTGTGGGTTTTGAGTGGATATTATTCGACGTATCAGTGGACCTCATCCATATACCCCTGGTCTTGACACAGATCTGAGACACGCCGGTCTCCCTGCTAGCAGCTGAGACATGTCAGTACTATCCAATCAGATGCCCTGAATAACGGCTTCTACGCCAAAACGGTAGGAACAAGATACTCGTCCCGCTTCTTGCCCCAAAACCCCTGTCCTGCCGCTGCAAATCAGATGGCTTTTCCTGACCCACTCTCTTACAACTTCAAACACGCGCTTGTCCTCATCTTGCTACGCTTGCAACCTCTGCTTTGGCTCTCCAGCGCATCTCGAATGTGATCACAGCACTTGGATAAACATCAGCCAAGAGAAAGCAAATAGTAGCCTCAGCTATGCTTCTGTGTCTCAGTCGAATATACCCTCCATCAGCCTAGCGGGAGGAGATCGAGAGCCTCAAAGTTACTTTAAATTGGATAACTCATAATTCAGTCTATATCAGCGCCTGAGGATACAGATGCCACAGCTCGACTGTGCCTGTGATTCGCTCTCCGCCTCTACAATGTCACACCTGCTTTCGAAATCGACTGGCTAAGCCCAGAATTCAGGGCGCATCGCCCACTGTCTCGATGCGAATGGTGTTGCTTTGTTCCAAGCAAGATGCATGCTGAGCCACCAGTCTGCGGATGACCTATCATTCAAGAAAATATACCGACGTTGCCGTGAGGAGCTGCCGCTTCGCCTATACGGCTGTCGCCGACTTTGCTACCTCAGAAAACCCGATCAAATCTTCTGTCAAGCTCCTTAAGGGACAACCGCCGTACGATCGTGACAAAAGTTCTGGCACCTCGCCATATAAGTGCCCCTCATGCGGGGGATCAGAGGACGGGGTCTTTGACATATGTATGATATTGCCATATTGCCGTGAGCGCAGATATATCGAGAGGACTGCGCTCAGGCGGTAGGCGATCCCGCTGCAACTCGGTTCGGTTCCTGAATTGCCTTGATCGAGCAATTAGCCTTAGCACCCGGGCTTTAGTGGTTTCAACTGTTGTGAAAAATAGCATACTGCATCTGCTATACCCTGGCCTGTCTCGACTCTAGAGGGTATTGTCCCTCTTCCGGGGTTGGCGGGGGCGTGCCGGTCGATTTTAGGGGGGTGTCAAGAAGAACGGCCGAGGTGAGGCATCAAGTTATCGCACCCAAGGTCTGGGTGTCGGTCAACAGATGTGGCGTGTCTACAGCTTGAATCCGCTGTCGTCGGAAGTTTTGTCAACCCCAGACGGGTCTAACGTGGCTCAGTTTGAGTCGACACACTGAATATCGACCTCGTCGACTCACTAGCCCGCCCGTCCATCCACACGTCCCTCGTCGCCTCTTGTTTCTTCAGAGGATGAGACAAGCCACCTCCGTCGAGTCGCTGTTGTGCAGCCCGACTGGACGGTCCAGTGGCCCGATCGAGCCCCTTGTCGATACACTCTTGAAGCCTGCGCCACTCTTGGTCGTCTTGGAGTCGGTTTGGAATCATCAATTGGTATTATACAGGACCATCGTCTTGCAGCTTCATCTTCTACGGTTTGGCTCTCGATATCATCTTTATCCTCTTCACGCCCTCTTGCGGGATCTAACTTTCTTTTAGTACAACTTCTAGCCCTGCTGACTGGAAGCTGTGGCCTTATTGTCCCCTAGTCCGGGGTCATGAGAATCCCTGCTCATACCCCTGCCCTCTAGCTCCACCGGCTTCTCAACTTCCTTGACTCTTACAGACGAACTTTCCTACTGTACTCGCAACCTGCTAGGCCCCATCCTATCCCAGGAGCGCTGCGACTCTGTTTTGCACCGGATAGCCCCCTCCTCTGCTATGTATCCGCTTTCTCTTGTACCAGTTCATAGATCGGTCTGTGTTGCGTGTTGGAATCCACTCGGTCCAGCCCCTCCCGTCTATCCAAACCTCTCCCCTGGTGACCGTCCCTGACTTGCGGAGCTTCCTTGCCTCCATGGATGATGCCTCTTGCCCATCGTACACGTCTTCTCTTATACCTCCAGGTTCCGGCTCCGCTACCCTTTCGCTTCTTCCGCAAATCTACCAGCTCATTAACTTTGTTCGTCCGTTTTGCCTCCAGTCATTCCTTAACACAAACACTTGCATGTCATCAAACCGTATAATATAGCAAGCCCACCCACCGCTATCCAAGTCCAGGTCTAGCTATCCTTTCCTTCATAAACAGGGCTTAAACCAACTACGCCACTTTCCTTTACAAAAAGACAAACAATCGATTCACTCTCTACGCGTCAGTCTCCGCTGTCATCAGTCCAAGGGATCCTGTTCGCTTCATAGTACATATTACTATACCCTAACCGCCTGACATCCCCCAAATCGACTGTGATCGTTCCTTACAACACATCCATTCCTTACAACGCATGTCGACTGCCCGGAAATTACTCCCACATTCGACTTGGCCATTGCTCTCTTAGTTGACCAGGTAAGCTCGAGATGGTCCCGCGGCACTCCCGAAGATCCAGATATGATGTGGACCTGGGCTTGCCAGTTTACCATGATCGTCCACCATCTCATCGAGGATTCATGCTGACACCACCCTGCCCTTGCCAGATAGATTCTGCATAATAGTTTAACGGCTCGCTCCTGTAAGGACTCTTGGGTTCCTGCTTTTACCACCACCCTACCTGTATGCTTCATACTTTCTTGTCCTTCCTTTGAGCCATATGCACGAAATACTTACACTTTATTCACGCAGCAACACCAAAGTTGACACTCAACTTTTCTTTTCTATCTGTGATAGTATTTATACAGCTGGCTTGCATACCTATCTGGGCCTACGCCTATAATCAACATGAACTCAAACGAATTTATCGAAAACGAATCCGTGCTGGGCTCGGACGAGATGTGGTCAACACCAGCCACTCAGTCTAAGCCTCGCCCTATGCCCATCTATCAGGGATTCTCTTTCTGCGGTGCCGAGAACTTCTCATCAGTGCCATCTTGGGACTCATCTTCAGTTTCATTCCAGCAAACCCCCAGTGAGACCATGTCACGCCCCGGATCTATGCATCAAGACTTCTACCCTCCTACCACTATGGATAACTGTAAGTAAAACCGAGCCTCACTATATCACTCACACTAATCTGAAGCAGCATCGTGGATGGATAAGCAAGTCGAAGATCAATTTGATCTTCACGGCATGGACTACGATATGACCATGGGAATGAGCTCCTTCACAAACGATGAAGCCATCCCTGTTCTTGACCTGAAGCAGGGAACACTTGCCGAGGAAGATCTGATGGCCA